GTGTTTGGGAAGGCAAGTTTGCGTGAGAGTAGTGCATGTTTGGGAAGAGGGACTTGGGACGGGGGGGAGTAAAGTATAGGGATCAGCACTAAGCCAGTGTAACTTACACTGAAGAACCGGGAGAGGTCGCAGGAGTGATGCCCAACCACTTGGACCGCCGGGAATCTAACGCGGACCTGCGAGAAGGTCGGCCGTCGCTGTGGCGACAAGCCGAAGTGTCGAGGGAGAGGAAAGAAGGGAGGGTGGGTGAATTAACGAGTGATCATCAGTGATGCGGTTTTATGTCAGGGTGCGTGGAGGGTTGTGCTTGTGTGGGAGGTGGGGGGGGTTGTGCTTGTGTGGGGGGGGGGGTTGTGCTTGTGTGGGGGGGGTTGTGCTTGTGTGGGGGGGGGTTGGGCTTGTGTGGGGGGGTTGGGCTTGTGTAGGGGGGGGTTGTGCTTGTGTGTGGGAAAGAGGGGGGGGGGTTGTGCATGTGGGTGGGGAAGAGGGGGGGGGGGTTGTGCATGTGGGTGGGGAAGGGGGGGGGGTTGTGCATGTGGGTGGGGAAGGGGGGGGGTTGTGCATGTGGGTGGGGGAAGGGGGGGGGTTGTGCATGTGGGTGGGGAAGGGGGGGGGTTGTGCATGTGGGTGGGGAAGGGGGGGGTTGTGCATGTGGGTGGGGAAGGGGGGGGGGTTGTGCATGTGGGTGGGGAAAGGGGGGGGGTTGTGCATGTGGGTGGGGAAGGGGGGGGGTTGTGCACGTGGGGGTATATTGAGGATGTAGGGGCTACTGGTGATGTGAAGGGCATATATGGGGTGTTGAGATATGGAGGGTCATATGGGTGGTGGGGGCACGTGTCATATGGGGGGGGGGATGTGAAATCCAGCATTGCTCGGCAGCAGTTCTTGTATCACAGACTAGTTGGTCATAAAACATTTCGTACTGCCCAAAGTTAAACAGATTCTAAATTTTGTGTCGTGCTCATGAGGTTGTTGCGGGCATACCTGAAAAAAATAGTAAAATAAACAGGATTACGATCAGTACTAAATTATTTTATTTGTGCCTTTGGCCAGGTCCTGGAGCCAATTTGTAATTCGGCACAATGTTTCCCCCCGAAACATTATTTCAACATTTTTAGATCCAGTCACCCCACCCCTTCCCACCATTTCCTGCTGGGTACACAGGTGGCTTAAAAAATCTATTTTCATATATTGTGGCTTAAGTGATAGGGCAATAAATCTATGGAATCTCCTTGCGCTGGAATAGTAAATAACAAGATAATACTTCAGTTTAACATTCAGCTTAAAAAAAATCCTTAGGAATAATGGTGGGGAACTTCACAAGCCGTAGGATTCCTCCTGTCGAAGCTACTGGAGATGTTGATCCTCGTGTAGAGTCGAGGCTTCAGGAGTTCCACTATACCAAAGGGAAACTGTCATCGTGCAACGAGGGTTTTAAGCTGTAATGGCCTCCCCAACGCAATAAACTATTACCTTTAATCAATATAAAAGAAGCACTGAACTGAAAAGTATTTTGTCAAATTCCAAGAGTACGACTTTATCAAACTAGAAATGCTTTACAAATCAAGGGACCCTGAATGTGGAATGACCTTTCCCAATTATGTTAAAGACTGTACCTCTCTCAACCAGTTTAAGATAAAAACTAAGTACTACCTAATTAACTCCATGTAACCTACCTCACCCCCAAAATGTCGATCCATGTCTTCTATTTTAAACAATGCTGTCTGTTGACCAAATTGTATTTTTGCTGCCATGTTCCCCCCCCCCCCCTTTTTTTTTCTCTCTCTCTCTCAACACAATTTATACTTTAATCTCAATTAGTATTAAGTTTTAGTCTTTGTTTTTCCTGCCCGAAACGCTTTGCGTAATAGTGGCTTTAGGCATTGTATGTACTAGCTCTATCTATAAATCCATCAACGTTTTGTATCTCACCTTTTTATGTATATACTTTACCTGAATAAATATTTGATTTGATTTTGATTCGATTTGAAATAGCATTGATCCGCCAGAGTCTTCGCCCTAAATATGCTAAATTATGTTTGCCGTTACTTTAGTCCTAAAATAATGCAAATACTTTAATACAAGTCTCGCTAATTAAAAGTAATGCATAAGCAAAAATTTACACTTCACCCGCGCGTGTCAATACAAAACATTTGTTCAAACTTGTGCATGTGAACTTCTACCTCGGTATCAAGTATTGTCCTAAGATGTAACATTAATTTTGTTCGAATCACCGCCCGTGATAGTGGCTTAATAACCGGCCTACTGAGTAAACATCAACGTTGACCAAACCACACACTAGAAAGTGAAGGGACGACGACGTTTCGGTGCGTCCTGGACCATTCTCAAGTCGATTGTGAGAATCACAATCGACTTGAGAATGGTCCAGGACGGACCGAAACGTCGTAGTCCCTTCACTTTCTAGTGTGTGGTTTGGTCATCGTATTTCTGCCACATTGTGACTCCTCGTCTACAATGAACACCAACTATATATTAAAATATACGTTATAATCGCACTGCGATATTTTGCATAACAATGTATTTATATTAAATGGCACTTTTAATTGGAAACAAAATTAGGATTGGTACGGTTTTCCCAAGATAAATTATACACGCTTAAATGTTGCATAGGACGAGCTAGTACCTAGCTAGCTAGCTAGTGCTTTTGAACCCTACGAAGGTTCTTAATTGCCTTGATGGTCAACAATTTTCCTTCACACTTTTAGCGCTACCTTTATACCTTTGTGTTCCTAAGGATCAATGTCTCCGCGGCCCGGTCTCTGACTAGGCCGCCTGGTAAACTTGAAATTTTGTACTTCACCTACCTTGTGGAAGTTGGTATGGGCGCCGAGCCACAGAAGATCGAGTCCTCTATGTCTTCCCTATAATTCAAATTCACCTGCAATAATTTATGAATTAGTATGTAAATCTTGTCCAATACAGTTGAGTAGTAACAGGTATGCAGGAATAATAATATAATGGCACAAGACATTAACTAGGCATTAACCTAGGACAAAAACCAACATTAATGTGAAATAGGTATTCACCTAGTTGTGCTTGCGGTGGGGTTGAGCTCTAGCTCTTTGATTGACAGTTGAGGCAGGCCCAATCAACCGATTTATTCCCCCCCCCCCCAGGAAGCAGCCCGTAGCAGCTGTAACTCCCAGGTACCTATTTACTACTTGGTGAACAGGGACATCAGGGTGAAAAGCTCTACCCATTTGTTTCCGCCTCCGACGGGAATCAAACTCGGACCCCTAGGATTACGAATCCCGAGCGTTGTCCATTCAGCCGGCAGACCCCTTACATACGTACACACGCGCGCGTACACTCACCTAATTGTGCTTGCGGGGGTTGAGCTTCGGCTCTGGTGCCACCTATCAACTGTCAATCAACTGGTGTACAGATTCCTGAGCCTACTGGGCTCTATCATATCTACAATTTTAACTGTATGGAGTCAGCCTCCACCCACATCACTTCCTACTGCATTCCATCTGTTAACTACTCTGACACTGGAAAAGTTCTTTCTAACGTCTCTGACTCATGTGGGTACTTTGCTTCCACCTGTGTCCCCTTGTGCGTGTACCACCCGTGTTAAATAATCCATACTTGTCTACCCTGTCAATTCGCCCGATAATTTTGTATATGGTCATCTCTTCTCCCCGACCTCTTCCATCTTCCAGCGACGGAAGGTGCAGTTCACTCAGACTTTCCTTGTAACTCGTGCCTCTTAGTTCTGGGACTAGCCTAGTGGCATACCTCTTTTTCCAGCTTCGTCTTGTGCTTGACAAGGTATGGGTTCCATGCTGGGGCCGCATACTCCAGGATTGGCCTTACATATGTAGTATACAAGGTTCTGAAAGATTCCTTACACAGGTTTCTGAAGGCAGTTCTGATGTTAGTCAGCCTTGCATACGCCGCAGATGTTATTCTTTTGATGTGGGCTTCAGGAGACAGGTTTGGCGTGATATCGACTCTTGGATCTTTCTCTGTCCGTTTCATGCAGGACTTCATCTCCCATTCGGTATCCCGTGTCTGGCCTCCTATTTGCTCCGCCTATTTTCATTACCTTACACTTACTTGGGTTGAACTATAGTAGCCATTTGCTGGACCATTCATTCCGTCTGTCTAGGTCATCTTGTAGCCTCATACTATCTTCCTGTCATAATCCTCCTCAATGTTTGCATCATAAGCAAACATTGAGAGGAACGAGTCTATAAGCTCTGGGAGATCATTTACATACATCAAAAACAGTATAGGTCCAAGGACTGAACCCTGCGGGATTCCACTGGCGACGTCTCGCCACTCCGAGACCTCCCATCTCCTGCTTGTGGACTAGTCTTATGTGGTACTGTGTCAAAGGCTTTATGGCAACCCAAAAATATGCATTCTGCCCACCCCTCTCTTGCCTGATTTTTGTTGCCTGGTCGTAGAATGCAATTAATCCTGTGATGCATAATTTGCCATCCCTGAACCATGCTGATGTGTTACAAAGTTCTTTCGCGTGTGTGTACTGTGTGTGTACGTACGTGTGTGGGTGTATACACACACAGGCTGCCTGTCCCTGACAAAAACTAAACCATTTTGAGAGCACATGCTTTTATAACGAGGTGCATCGTGGAGTTGAGAACTGTCACAATGTTCTTCGCCCATTAGGCCTCGTTCAGCCGCCCAGCATTTACCAGCTTTTATAAATCGCCTCCTATTAGGCCTACACAAAACTAATCAAGTCTAACTTAATTAAATTGTGGCATTGCAAAAAGTACATACAAATCCTCCAAATTTTTTCCATCTGAAATTTGTGAATATTTATTGCCATGGAAATTATACTTACAGTTTTTGTAGTGAATGGCTCAGAGGGAGACGTAGTGAGGATCACCTCTCTCCTCCGCTTAGCCGTCGGGCTGGTGTCTGCGCGCGCCTCCGGGAGGCAGGGCCGGGAGCTGCGCCCTCGCCGGCAGCACACGAGGTACCCCGCCGTCATCACCACCTTAACACACACAAGCTCAGGTCATTATAGCCAAGGCTGCACATCACAACGGGGAATGGCTCCAGTAAGTTACTTATCCAACCATCACATTACTCAAGTTACATAACATGAACGCAATCATCACCATTAATATACAAATTTCTGAATAAACTTTAGCAAAGTTTCCCAGAAGTTGAAAACAAAAGCAAAATTAGACATTAAGGATGAGACTTTTAGGATTTGTGTAATTAAAGCTTATAGTTTCTGCTACAGAGCAGCTTCCACCGTCGGTGACCTTGGAGGACCAAAACACTCATTGGCAATGTTAACACGTTTGTTACGCTTTTGTTAATTAACAGCCACCATGCCCTTCAAAGCCACCATCATACTCTACATTTACCGGCCGTCATCCAGGCTCCACCGACCCCTGTCACCAGGTGCTGCAACTCTCACCTGTGGGCCTGGACACTGAGGAGGAAAGGGGGGGGGGGGCTGGTGGACCACCTGGACACTGAGGAGGAGGGAGGGGGGGGGGCGGGGCTGGTGGACCACCTGGACACTGAGGAGGAGGAGGAGGAGGAGGGGGGGGGGCTGGTGGACCACCTGGACAGTGAGGACCTGGGGGGGGGGGGCTGGTGGACCACCTGGACAGTGAGGAGGGGGGGGGGGCTGGTGGACCACCTGGACAGTGAGGAGGGGGGGGCTGGTGGACCACCTGGACAGTGAGGAGGGGGGGGGCTGGTGGACCACCTGGACAGTGAGGACGAGTGAGGGGGGGGGCTGGTGGACCACCTGGACAGTGAGGACGAGGGGGGGGGCTGGTGGACTGGATAGTGAGGGGGGGGCTGGTGGACCACCTGGATAGTGAGGGGGGGGGGCACCTGGATAGTGAGGAGGGGGGGCTGGTGGACCACCTGGACACTGAGGGGGGGGGGCTGGTGGACCACCTGGACAGTGAGGGGGGGGGGCTGGTGGACCACCTGGATAGTTAGGAGGGGGGGGGCTGGTGGCACTCTTATGATGCCAGTAATTATGAATTAATGTTACACCTACACTGTCGCGTCACCAAGAGTAATCTTTTGTTGAATTATCTGCACGTCTCTTGCAAATTTCTCTGAAATATATATGTTTATCTTAGAGTGTTCGGCAATATGTTTGTTTGTGATGTGTGTCAATATATGTATGAACACGTTGTACCGAACGGGGTGAAGATAGCTTGAGCTACCTCATCCCTTTGTGTGCATTTTACCTCGGTAAACTTATTTAAATTTCAAGTCAATTCAATTTCCACTGTCGCCATCTTACACATATTAAACACAAATGAAAACTGAGAAGCCTTATTTAAATTTGGGATGAAACCATAACCTAGCGATGGGACTATCACCCTGATGGAGCTTACATTCTCAGTTATCTTCATTAAGGATAACGTTAATGTAGGAAACCTGGACAGGTATTCCGGTACGTCAGAGGTTGCTTGGTTACAAAGGTTAAGGTTAATGTGAAGAGTAAAAATAGAAAACTTGCAAGAAACCCGTGGAGGCCGACAACGATGACCGAAGCCTTACGGAAGCCCATCATGTCGACCAGGAACCCAGAGCCAGTTCTTGAGGTAAACCTGCCGACGCCTGACAGAGAAGCCCACAACCCTGCCACGCAGCCATGAGTTCCAGCAACGTCTGGGAACCCAGAACCCCTGTAGAGGGAATATAATATAGCTACACAATTTACCCATATTCAACACAACATTCATATTTAAATCACCATTACAATGATTTCCCTTATTAGACCACTATCTTAAACATTTTGTTTACATTGGAATGATCAAAGAGCAAAACTACCAAATCGAGTTTAGACAAATTAGTGTTTATGAGAGTGGCGAGACAGAAGCAGTGAAGGCCACTCACACGACCTCCCTCATGGCGTCCACCACCCCTGACACCTGCTGCCCGCCAATACCAACACCGTTCAGCACCAACGCCACGATCACCACGCTCAACGTCCTAGTCAAAAGAAAACAGTTAAAGTTAAGTAATATGGATTTATAATGCAATTATAAACTAGTTCAGTAATTCCAATCCACTCTTTAGGAACGAGTGGGCAAGTGACAAATAACTGTCGCAAGCGGGTCTAGTGCAAACTAGTCCCGCTTTAATTTACTAATATAATGTAATTTCATTTGCTTTTATCCGGGCAAATGCGGGGACCTTTGACAAGCCGTCAGCTTCCTGTTCTCGTCGAGGCCACTAGTATTAGTGGACCTCAGGTAAACTAATCAGTCATTAGGACGACTATCTCCCGTGTTCCTAACCTTAAGTGTACTACTTTAATCTGCATAGTTAAGAACTGAAGTCAACTCTGCGTATATAACGAGGCGTCTATATACCTTGGCTAATGAATTTGTTAACAAAACCTCTGCTTTTGATGCTTACACGAAACAATAACTCAATTTCTCCTTAGTTCAGATGTATTGGAAATAATGGCACAAAAATATACAATTCATAAAACAATATTAAGATACTATAGAGATCAAGTCATTTTGATGCATTTTTGGTAACTGTTCTATACAAGAACTACAGTTCCATCCATGCACGATCTCATGACCTAATTCCTCGGTCGTAAATTAATGTTTTTTCACAGGCGAGTACAGGAACAGAGGATTGCAGACTTGTTAGCTAGTTACAGTGGCTGAGAGCTTTCCTGTCCCATAGCTCACGGTAAGCCTTACCCACTAGTTTCTCTGAACACGACTCGCCAATCGACTGTACTGAACACACACACATTATTTAATATTATATACATATACATATACATATACATATACATATACATATACATATACATATACATATACATATACACACACACACACACACACACACACACACACACACACACACACACACACACACACACACACACACACACATACACACATACACACATACACACATACACACATACACACATACACACATACACACATACACACACACACACACACACACACACACACATACACACATACACACATACACACATACACACATACACACATACACACATACACACATACACACACACACATACACACACATACACACATACACACATACACACATACACACATACACACATACACACATACATACATACATACATATATACATATATACATACATACATACATACATACATACATACATACATACATACATACATACATACACACACACACACACACACACACACACACATGCAGAACAAGACTGTACTTGGGGTTGGTCTATCCCATTGTTGATGCAACAATATACATTACATTTTGTAACTAGTTCAAGATTAACTTAGTTAAATGAATTTTGTGGTTCAGTCCCAGAACCCATTATTTGCATCTAACCTTTTCCACTACCGCCCACAGGATAGGTATAGGGTGTACAAGCTAAAAGAAAAAAAACTAATTTTATTCAGAACTTTAAAATATTTCCCCAGAGAATAGCACAGCTGCTAGTGTCCTGGTAAGGAAAACTTGCCACTGGTTAACACTGGAAAAGAGGAATATGCGCAAAGCAAGATTTCTACCTCCAAAACTGTATTAAAACTTAAATTACGAGTGTGGTACAACAAGTCGTTGAAAGGTTCCGTGGACATGAGGTAAACCAAGAAAAGTGGCTCTTATTGGTGATATCAGAACGAATAGCCATCAACATGGAGCCTAGCCTCAGGCCGGGCTCGGGAAGAAGAACAACTCCGAAAACACGCTCCAGGTATGTTCCAGGTAATGGTTACTTCCTTCCCCACCCGATTAGTATGTCCAGGGACCTGTTCCGAACAGCGAGCGTCAAGCACTACAATCAGGTTGAGACGTCAACCCGGAAGGCTTGGTCAGCAGGGCTGCTGGACACTGGTCTCTGAACACGCTCATGGTTGACAATAGTGCTTCTAGGAGCAACTCTAGACTACTAGTTTGCATATAATCTGAATTTATGAAAATTGTCAATTATTTGAATAACTGAAGTTAATGGGTGATCACAACTGGAAACCAAAATGTTTTCTAATAGGTAACTTATGGAAAATATGACGGAAACCAAATCACGAAAATCTTCTTAAAATTAATACATACAAATAAAATACAAATATTTATTCAGGTAAAGAACATGCATGCAAGGTGAGATACAAAAGTTGATGAATTTATAGATAGAGCTAGTACATACAATGCCTAAAGCCACTATTACGCAAAGCGTTTCGGGCAGGAAAAAACTAAGACAAACTTAATACTAGAATACTTAATATCTCCAGCAGTGTCACTTTACCTGGTGATGGGGACTCCAGGGAAGGGTCCCAGCAAGAAGAATGACACGAACGCCAAGCAGGAGGAGAAGAAGATGAAGATCTTGACGCGGTCGTAGCGGTCACACATGTAACCCCAAAAGGGTGACGCCAAACTGTTGGCGCCATCCTTCAAGCCAAACAACAGGCCCACGTACAGCGGACTTAAATGGTACTGTGGGGAATTTTATATGTAATTAACAACAAGGTAAAAAAAATTTTAACTTTAAATCGAAAAAAAGTACAAGTATACAAGGTCACCGATGTCTTAAAACTAAAACCATTAAAAAAATTGTATGGTGACCATGTATATGACGCAGCCGTATTGAGAATGTCAATATTCAACACTACTGTGAGCAGCAAGCACCAAAATGTTAATATACAACCGCCCAAACACAAACCCTAGTACTGTTTTGCAAGTCTGAAAATAGTGAGAGTATAGATGTTATTCCCCAATACAATTATTTACGAAAATGGTACACAAAATTTGTATAGGGCCTACCACTGGAGGCCCTATACACAAAAGGCTATAGTGGAGTCTATGAAGCTACACAAAGTGATGATATAGTGGCCAGAATACGCCTGGGAATATAGACGTATCTGGCAGCTTTCTCAAAACCCGAATGTCGAATACACCATGTGTCAACTTTGTTGGAGAAAACATGCACTCCCATGAACATTATATTGTAGAATGTCCTATACTGACCGACTTTCGCCGAGGTATGCTGAACTCTGGGTATATTGACCTTCCTGGGCTGAGGTATGCTGAACTCTAAATACTATATGAATACTGGAACATTTGATATATTGGACTTGTACCCAAGACTGACCATGTAATACATCTGTTATATAATGTATTATACTAATACAATATATATACATCTGTTATACAATGTATGTACCTATAACCTGAGCTTGTAAAAGCATCTTAATCACCTTCAGTGGTTAAGTGTTTAATATCACTAGTTTCTATAGAAACTATTTTGCCATGTCAAAGTAGGAGATACATAGGTGTGTATTATATTATATTATGTATATATGAGAGAGAGAGAGAGAGAGAGAGAGAGAGAGTGAGAGAGTGAGTGTGTGTGTGTGTGTATATACGGGGTATGTGGAAGCTGGTCAGAACTGCATTTCACCTTTGTAAATGCGCATTAATGACGCTATGTAAAAAGAGACCTCTAACACTTTATGTAGGACAAAACTTAAATCTGTATTTATGTTTGTAGGTTAGATTAGAATTTTAAAACCACTACACACCTTCTGTGGTCAATTGTTCAATAAATCGCAATTTTATGTTTAACAGATCTCTAATCCTATCCATGGAGGACAAGAAAATGTATGTTGGTTAGCATTGTAAATGTGTGGCCACGTTTGTAGTAGGGTAAAAAACTGGAGCACAATCCCAACGGTACTTTACAAAATATCCTGCTCTTACATCAATATGAAAATTTTCATCCTACAAGTTTCAATATTTTAGCTCATTTGCTTTTTGAATGTATGATAACATTGTAGAAAATTCTTGGTAGGTAGAATCCCGAACTAGTGTGCAAGTACAAACTCCAATGCTTATGCCCCGACACAGTCCCTAGGACCTGGGGCTCCAAGGTGGCGAGGCACTGACCTTTCTTAGGACCTGGGGCTCTAAGGTGATGGAGAGGAATCCATTGCTCATGGTGGAGAAGATGAAGGTGATGAAGGAAATCCAGATGCCTTTGATGGCAAACACTTTCCAGATCTTCACCTCCTCACATTTCTCCGATTCTTCTTCTTCTGAAAAAAATAAATAGCAAAAGATAATGTATTTCAGACATGACCAAGTTTCTCCTGATTATCTGTTAATCTGAAGCATATAAGCAATTTTTTTTTCCACGTGCTTAATTTTAGGAAACCTATGACAATATGAAGTTGCCTGTATATGCATCTTGTGGCGTATAGCATGTGTTGCACCTCCACACACAACTGAATTATCGCTATTTAAACAACCCCACAGGCAGACGACTACTAGAATACACAAAACTGCATAGTATCCAGAAAGCTCAAGTTTAGGTGTAACCTTAACCTAGTCCCTCATTCCCTCCTACCATAACCTAACCCTCCAACCCACCATATTATATCTTTTTTCCACGCCATATCCTTGTTCCTCTTACCATAACCTGCCCCATAACCCCACAATACTAACCACAGTAGTATGGAAGACAATAAAGGGCAATTAAGGTCATTGACATCTGCACGGTTCCCATGACAATGAAGGGAAGCTTGAAGCCTCCGACCTGCAGCAAGGCGCCGCCCACCACCGGCCCGAACATCTGCGCCAGGTTCATAGTGGTCCGTGTCCACGCCTGCAGGGGACCATTATACATCACGTCCACACACTTGACCAATAAAGGCACACATCTGCCCCAAGACCTCCCTGAACTTTAATGTGGCTACAATGGAATAAAATAATTGTCAAGACCCAGTAAGGTCTTAACAGTTTGCAAGCCAAATAAATCTTCTCGAAGTCTCGAATTACAATGAAAAATTAGAGTATTTGAGTTTACCATTATTACATTCAACAAAATGTTAGTTACACATATTGGATTTTTAATCTTACAAGTTCTATACTAGAAACCGTATCTACAGATATGTTATACAAATTTTACTTCGTAAAAAAAAACTCACGAAGACTTTAGCCACGGTGTCAGGAAACTCTAGGCCAATATAGGCGAACGTAGCGGTGCTGATCCCAGCATTCGCCGTAGCTTGAGTCATGCGGATCAATATAGCCATGATCACAAACACTGGCCCAGGAGCAAACCACTCTAGGAACCTGAAATTAGATTTATGACAAACTTCAACACCCAAGGGGGGCTCGGGAACTAACTATTGAAAGAAAGCGCCAAGCCATTATATGGTTATATTTTAACACCATAAATGGGTTTGTTTAATATTTTACATACAATGAGAGTCAAGTCACAATATTGGTGGCGCCAGACCGTCTGCCCGGAGCAATTCTAAAGTCACACCTTTCGAGACTTGTGTTCACACGGTGAGTAGAGGTCAGGTCGCATCAAGTGACTTCGCTTCTGTTAAGCTGATAATTGCAGACGGTTGGTTAGATTTTTTATTCAGGTAAAGCTACATACATTGAAGATGAGTTACAAACAATATTGAAATTTAAAGATAGAGCTAGTACATACAATACCTAAAGCCACTAGTAGTTGTGTTGTGTTTCTTTCAAACAAGCCGCGTTATAGGTGTGTTAGGTTAATAACCAGAAGCTATCTCCTGGTAGGCAGAGCTTACCGGCTCCAGGTTCCCCCATAAATACCCGTGGAACTGTACATTTGATACATTGAGGAGGACAAGCGATAGACAGTGAGCAAGCCTCTCTGGAGTGAGACCTCTCTCACTCCAGAGAGGTTCCAGCAGCCCGACTGGCCGTCTTAGACCGGGAGGGGGGACTGTCAGCCGTCCCACCCCCTCCTCTCTACAAAACTTAGTTCCAGAGACCTTGGTGAGTGAACTGTAAAGTTGTCATTGTGTTTTCCAACTTGTGTGATTTTCACGGACAGTCAGCCGTAGTTCATCTCAATTTCTTGTGTGGTGACTCAGTGTTAATGTTGACCTTTGAACATCAAATGAAATGGTTGAATAATGATCCCTATATGAGTGAAGATATAATGGTAAATATATAATTGATTAACTTACTATTTTAATTGTCTAATTCGGATCCCTAGATCTTTGATTTTGATAGCTAGAGTGGAGAGCATTCAGAAGTTTACTGGCTTAAGATTATGACAAAGATTCTTGGTTACATGAATTGTACATTCTTCCAGTTCATACGTGTTATCAGATGTATTGTTGTGCAAAGTTACATTCTTTGTATTATAATTAAAACTTGAATGGATGGTGGCAGCATTTGCTTCACTTTTTTACCCTTCTTACTATATTCTATTCTACTTTCCTCTATCTTATTCTGTCTCATTCTAAACTTTCCCTTTCTCCCTGACCACTCCTTCCTCACTACTCCCTTCCGCCTCTCAACCTCCCTCATCCTACGAGTTTCCATATTTCTTCCTCTTCCATTTCCGATACGTTACAATATAGCACCGTGGTACATAACATAGCCAAGATATCACTCAAGATGTCATATTTCGTATATCAAACGAGTCATTCACCTGGGATTTTAATAAGACAGAGGACAGGAAGTGGGAAAGCAAAATTTCCAATTCTGAAAAAAATCAGGACATTGGAACAAAGCAATTCTACCAGGAAGGTTCAGATCTGTTCTCCACACACTAGTTCTTGTGTGGCCCATACACGGGAGCAGTTTCCCCACTTCCTATTGTATTGACAGGAAAGCCAATTTATATTGTACGCAATGTTTATAATTTTATGTAATATTTTTTTTCTTGCAATGTATCTTATTTAAGTAATTCTGCTAGAATTTACCTACTTAAAATTATCTGTTAGATTAAGGACCTGCCCGAAACGCTGCGCGTACTAGTGGCTTTACAAGACTAAACACTATGCTATGTATTCTCTCAAACCCAATGTACCTTCTTGTATATAAATAAATAAAATAAAATAAAAATAGAAATAATTTGTTAAGTTACCAACCATCTGTATACAACAGTACGATGAAACATTCCAGCATTTTTAACTTCAAATGGTTTCAATTTGCTTTAAACGTTTAGAAAATCCCAATTTTAAATGGCTTACCCAATAGAGCACTGAGGTACAGTTTGAGAATCCATAATGTGTTACAAGCCTCTCCACGGTCACAGGACGCCTACTGGCTCACCAGTAAGATAAAGCTATTACTCTCTCATCTATCCTTATCTCAACTATGGTATCTGTGCTTGGGGTTCTACCATTCAAAATAATTTACGTCTTCTAATTACCCAACACAAAGCTACTATTAGAACAATAACTAGCCCCAGACAGCACTCGGTACCCTTACTCAAATCTCTGAATATGTTAGATATTAATTCACTGAGCATCCTCTCGTGTACTCTATACATTTAAAAATCTGAATTGTAATGTCAATCCTGACCTTAAAAGCTTCTTAGAAGGTTGTAACAGAACCCATGGGCACCACACCAGAAACAAAAACCTATTTGATATTCCAAGAGTTCGACTTAATTAAACTAGAAATGCTCTACAAATGAAGGAACCCTAAATGTGGAATGACCTTCCCAATCATGTCAAAGGCTGTACCCCTCTCAACCAGTTTAAGATGAAAACTAAGTACTACCTAATTAACTCCATGTAACCTACCTTACCCCTAAATGTCAACCCATGTCTTGTTATTTTTTTTAAACAATGCTGTTTGTTGACCAACTTGTATATTGGCTATTTTCTATCATGTTCCCCCCTTTTTTATCTTATTTTTTTCTTTCAACCCAATTTATACTTTAAGCTCAATTACTATTAAGTTTTAGTCTAAATGTTTTTCCCCGCCTCATCTTGCCCAAAACGCTATGCGTACTAGTGGTTTTAGGCATTGTATGTACTAGCTCTCTATAAATCAGAATGTTTGTAACTTCATCTATGTATGTATTTTCCTAAATATAAAATTATTTTTATTATTATTATAATTAACCCAACGTTATTACTATTAAGAGTCAAGAAACCCCTTACCAAGCCATATAACATTCTCTTCATCTCGGTCAACACAAGCTAATGGAACGTTAACAAATGGTAAATCACAAACCGACTATAGCGTATTTTTGAATTTTTTGTGTTGGTGTGAGCAAATATTCCGGGTTTGGTTTGGTATTCTATTAAAGGTCTACAAAGACGCGAGGGGTTATTACGGCCATCATAAATAGCTTACTCATCTCCGAGTGCATAATCTCTTGTACTCTCAAACGAAGCTTATATACTTAAAAGGAACTAACCTACTGTTAAACTTTGAAACTTCCAAACTGTTCCTTTTACTATCATAGTGTTGTTGCCGCGAGGCACCGGGGGGGGGGGGGGGGGCAGCCGCACCCCCTTCCCGCTGCGAGGCACCGGGGGGGGGGGGGGCACCGAGGGGGGGGGGGGGGACCGCCGCACCCCCTTCCCGCCGCGAGGCACCGGGGGGGGGGGGGGGGCAGCCGCACCCCCTTCCCGCCGTAAGGCACCGGGGGGGGGGGGCAGCCGCACCCCCTTCCCGCCGCGAGGCACCGGGGGGGGGGGGGGCAGCCGCACCCCCTTCCCGCCGCGAGGCACCGGGGGGGGGGGGGGGCAGCCGCACCCCCTTCCCGCCGTGAGGCACCGGGGGGGGGGGGGGGGGGGCAGCCCGCAACACAAACATAATAGGCGGTGAAACAATAATCGTGTAACTAGCTTCAAAAGATTGTTATTTGCTTAGCTAAACGAACTAGGGGGATTCAATTCCTGAAATGATTATGTGCCTCTGTAACCCTTTACACCACCGCCCACAGGATGGGTATGGGGTGCATAATAAAGGAACAATTGACAGTGAAATCTTTGTTTTGAGCCACAGAAAACTTGAACTCACCCGGAGAGAAAGCAGCAGCCGCCGCTACAGAAGACACCAGCGGAGAAGGCAAACTTGACTCCTATAGTCCTGAGCTGTGGGAGGTCATGGAAAGTTAACTATTTTTATATTAATATATTAACATTTAAATTAGCCAGTTCTTGAAGCGCAATAATGTTTAAACAAAAATGGCCAACTGTCGAGAAAAATACATTGAGTGACGTGACCTGAAGTATTTGACACATTCATGACAGCTCCTCCCCCCCCCCCTCACCCCCACCATCACACACAATCTCTGCTCTTATCATCTAAATCAGGAGAACGTTTCCGTCATGAGATGTCTGTATAATCCCCTAATCGGAGATTCATTTCATGTAGTCTAGCCAGTCCTGCTTGTAAAAATCTGCATTGGCTAACTGACTGTGGAAATTATACGTTATTTACGTTGTGAGACAGGGCCTTGAATTATTGTCATTACAATATTTACAAATTGTGAAGCCACGTTTAATGACCATTATTTTTGTTCAAGTGGGTGAACTTATCACACAAGGTATCCTATTGATAGTAGTACATGGAATCAAACCTCTCGACCAATCAGATGGGGTCTAGAAATCTTTAGCCAACAAGAAACATATGACGTCTGTCTATGACCGCGCATCACAAAAAGCAGGAGGGAGCTAGAGCTCGGGGAATATTTCTCAGCATTCCAGCGTCAACGAGCAAGCAAGATTTAACATTTACCCGAATTAAATCCACCAGGATGTCAGTCGTGCCAGGATGTCAATGGGGGACAAATCTTTATGGGAGGTGCCTTTTATGCTGGGTTATTTAATGGTAAGAACAACTGCCTCAAACCAGTTCTTGGGGGACATGTCTCCTCCCATATGTGGCTAGAAATATGGAATATAACTTGAAGGTATATAAAGGAAGATGGCGGAACATTGTTTACCGTCCGAGCCCGCCGCCATGGAATTGGCGAGTCGAGGCGGATTGGAAAAAAGTGGGAAGGCGAATCATTGTAGGGAACCCGAAGGCGAGTGCAAAAGTACGAGGGACGAGATTCAATACGGAACTCACGGGTAAGGAAGGCAGGAGGGAGACGAGAACCGAAGCTAACGGCCAAGAAGTGCGAAGTGCGAACTTACTTTGTCCGCGACCAACACCGGATCAGAAGTAACAACCAGCGAGGCGAGCGAGAGGGGGAATCAGAAAAATTCTAATGTCCCAACAGCTAAAAAAAAAAAAAAAAAAAAAAAAAAAATCTTAAAACTAATGAACTAACCTTTTTCCCGATGATAGGTGTGACGAGGAAGGCAGTCAAGCAGTTCGTGCCGATGATGAGGCCAAAGACCGTCGAAGAGCAGCCTTTTTGCTGCGCCTGTCACGGGTAAAGGTAGTAATGGTTTATAGTTTTGTCAGTTGTGTCATGAAAATTCCATGTTTCTGAAGATCAATGCATTTAAGTCTTTCATAAAGAAATGAAGAGGATGGATTCTCCATTTAGAACAATTCGCAGTTTTCTTTAGAGAGCGAGTCATCATTCCCGGCTTGTGATCCTACCAATGTCAGGTCTAGAGATAAGATTATTTTGCGAGGTCTCCGTCAAAGGCCTTTCGGAAGTTTTGGTAAACAATCTAAAGTTTGTGTGTTTTATGGCACCAATTTCAGTAATAGATTAAGTTGGGTTCTCTAGACATTTGATAAACCTTGTCCTTGATTACTATTCATTATTCCCCTAACATTAGTGCAAGCTACGACTAGTTTAACACACATTTTTGCATGATCAGCAAATTTCACGCCGAAATTCCAGGGATAAGGGGGAGGGAGAGGAAGAGGGCAACAGGGATAAGGAAGAGGGCAACAGGGATAAGGAAGAGGGCAACAGGGATAAGGAAGAGGGCAACAGGGATAAGGAAGAGGGCAACAGGGATAAGGAAGAGGGGGGAAAGGAAGAAGGCAACAGGGATAAGGGGGAGGGGGGGGAGGAAGAGGGCAACATGGATAGGGGGAGAGGGCAATAGCGATAAGGGAGAGAGGAAGAGGGCAAAAGATAAAAGGGGAGGGGAAGAAGAGGGCAACAGGGATAAGGGGGGAGGGTAGGGATAAGAGGGGACAGGGGAACAAGGATAAGGAGACAAGGATGGGGAAGGATGAGGTAGTAGTTGCATTGCAAAATCACAATTAACAATAACGAAGAATAATATATTAAATATTTTGATGGCACAATCATACCTCAAGTAAACATAAAAATACTGTTTAGCAAATACAATTCAAGAATAAAACCCTTCAACTAGCCCTCTATTCTGAACTTCACTAGGAGTCAACTACTATAATTCTGTGCTGTAGTTCAAATTTTTAAAAGCTTACAACATGAGGGAAGAAGGGCGGGAAGAGACAGACGGCGAAGGAGGAGGTGAGGGCGCCCAGACACAGCACCATCAGCAGCAGCCACTGTTGACGGGTGAACGACCAGACCACTGTCGAAGTTCCCTCACTGCTGTCTTCACCTTTAGTCTTCACTCCACAGCTGTCTTCGCCACCTTCCTCGTCTCGACGGGAATCTTTGCTTTTGGACCTTCCCCACAGGTTCTTCCTCCAGCACGGCCACCGTCGCCTTCCTTGTGGCTCTGTGGCGGGGGTGTGAACGCCACCTGCGTCCACCTCACCTTCCACTGCACCTGGATGCATCAAGTCTGAGATGATGCTCTTGGTTAAAGCATTGAAATAAAGAAAAATATACATTTACAAAATGGATAAGATACGGATGACTCGCTATGGCTAGAGGGTGTGGAGCTTCCATTTGTCATGCCATCTGTCACACTGGAGTCAGACATTCATTTATTTTATTTATGTGTCGCCTTAGGTTACACAGCAGTGTGTTGCTACCCTAATTCTATATGAAGGAATACATGGTATAGATCAGAGGTTAGCTGTGATTTCATTTAATATCACCATCTTACAGGATGGTTAGTTTTGCATGGAATCAGGAGAGAACATGATGCGAATCATGTTTAGTAATAAACTCTGGGTAGTGAACACTAATATTCTCCAACATTCGTGAGTGTACGATGTACTTGACAGCTCCGTATCTCTTACTGCTGAAGTTGTTAATAATCGGACACTCGCAAATAGTGTTGGAGTGTCTCAGTTCTTGTTCACATAGTTTAGGAGTGCAATGCTTATCGTTCGGGCATCCATTACCTCCAACAACCTTGCAAAAGAATATGTATCAGCTTAATTCTGACAATTACAATTCCACGCGCTAGTGGAGGTGTTGTCCGTACATATATGTTTAGAACCGAGAATTCTAACACTGTACCAGTGTTTTCCGCCCTTTGAGTGTTATAAGCCTGGCTCGATCAAGCCGCTGTGTGCTGCTGCTACTACCCGGACTGCGCAGCGATGTTTGCCCGAGTGTATAGGTCATTCTGTAGTCTATGGAAACAAGACCTGTGAAATGTCATTTTAATGGTCTTTCAGCCTTTCCTCACATATGTGGAGGTGGATAAGGGTGAAAAGAAAAGATGGATACAAAGATGAAAAAATGGTCGCTTATGGAGGTCAAAGACCCGCTATTTCAGGTGTATGTAAATTGAAGTGGAGCAAAGAGAATGATCAATACAGGAAAGAGCAAGTGAGCGAATTGCCACGAGTTTACTTTCTTGAATTCGGGAGAGAAGGTGGAAGATAGGATAAAACAAAAATGACTGTATAAAGAATATCGTCCGAGAGGATATGTCTAGTTAAAATCATTAAAAGGAGCACCGGTTCCGGCTATAAGTCTAGAAGCTGTTCAAGATCAAGGAGTTGAAGATGCAGACGGACATACAATAGTACACCATATGCTCCTTTAAGATACAATATACAATGTTGACACATTCGTACACTGCTCAATTGTCTCCACAGACCTGTGTGTGCAGAGGAAGGATGGCGGCAGTCTGGGGAAGGCCAAAAGAGGTTAAGAAAGGGACCAAGGTGCTGGAGGGAATCGCAGCGGTTATGTTTGTGTGAAAAGGCCGAGAAGAAACTTAAGTAGGGCGGGCTGTGGAAAGCTAGGAAGGTCATGAAATACAGTACGCAGAAACGAGGAATTCTTCAGACTTGGAGTATTCTAACAATATAACTGCGAAGGGGCTTGAGAATGAGCTGGTGGATATGTATCAGAGTCCAGAGCTTGGAAATTTATGGAAGAAAGAATGGGAAGGAAGCTGAGGTAAAGGGACAATGTACCACACTAACAATTAGGAAGGGTATTTCTCAGGTTGAAGGTGGCCTATTTGAGTTTACATTGTATATACGACCAAGAAAAGTCGACGTGATAGATCTCATCGCAGTTAATGTAGTAAAAGAAGCTGACAGCGTGGCCCAACATGCCAAACGAAGTGTAAAAGAACACCTTGCTATGACAATTCGAAACTTTATGCCCTTATTTCCAGGGCTCATTGCAGAGGCGTGTATAGTGCCCTTAGCACCAGCGAGAATGATAATTTCCGAGACGAGGATAGCCCTTCCCAGTGGGTCGCCTCATGACCCATGTATGCCGTCCCTAGAAGAGGGCAGGAGAGGGGACAGAAGCTACCGTCACCAGGCGAAGGGCGTCGCGCATCAGCGCCGTCGCAGCAAGGCGGAACGGACGAGAGGGATGGGAGGTCGCATATAAAGTAATTGACAAAGATTAATGGTATAAAACTGTCTTATTGTGCAGGTTACTGCAAATCTCTAGTAGTTTGTACTAAACATTCACTTTATTAAATTTGGGTTCTCTCACACACTAGATCTTCTGACTTCTGGCTAGAATCCCAGAGCATTAATGTTTTATCCATACGTATTAAATTACATTATATAGAAGGGACATTCAAGATTATTACCTGTAGCACCTTCTGTGTTTATACAGAGGTCCGGTTTAGCGGGTGCTGAACCACACACTAAAGGGGAGGGCATGGCGACTGTGTCTGTGGAAGAGCCGTGGACGTCCTGCAGGGCTGGCCACGACTCCGTTGTTAAGGGCACGGCCAGCGCGTTAGGGGACGAGCAGTGGACTTCCTGCGGGGCTGGAGTAACAGTATTGTCATCACCATGAACAGGTAGTGGTGCAGAGCCTGCACTCTGCCGACCATCCATCAGACACCTGGCCACTGTTGAGCTCATCCCACCTGTAAAACAGGGTCACCATCAAATTTGAAATTTAATAGCTTAATAGGAAAATTTATTATGAATCTAGGGTTTCCCCTTTTAGTTCAATACTCGCTATGTTATTTCACTCTTCAATTAAAGTTGATCTCTAATTGGTCAAGACTTCCTGGGTTTGAGGAGACTGCTAATGAATCAAAAGATAGGTCACCAGTTGTGGCTCAAGTACCGGTCCACGTATGATCTGACCATTTTAGTTACGAGTCTCATTATGGTTGAAGCATTGACTCGAGATGTGCTTCATACAACCGTTAGTTTGAGGACAAACAGGTTATTAGATGCCACCAACACAAGGTCACTGGGGTCCAGTAGTACAGTCGGGTTCGTTATCTACTTACAATCTAGAATTCCGGGATCGAGTCCCGACCGTAACAGAAAATGTTGGGTGCGTTTCGCATCACCTAATGCTCTGTTCACCTGGCAGTAAATAAGTACCCAGGAGTTAGCTTGTTGTGGGGTAGCATTCTGGAGAGGGTCAGTATTTCAACCTCATTGGGAGGTTTCCTCTATACAAGCCTAACATTATATATATATAAACCGGTCAGGAACATGGCCGCATCAGTAACTCCATCAGTGATTTAGTGAAACGCTCAGGATACACCGGGGACCTTCACCACCATCGATATTCATCAGCATACTGCACGAGCCCTCGGCTCCAGGCCTCACACGAGCCCTCAGCCACCTTCAGCACCACGCAGCAAGCATCCTCGTCTTGACTCATCACGTCATCCAACTGCTGTAACCAAACTATATTAAAAAAACATACTTCGAGTGCCGTCATTCAGAACCGCGGGTTGTCAACCTAAGCAAAATCAGATTTGTCGACAGCTGCATCTGCCTGGCGACAGTAAAGTCATACGGTGTAAACTATCCTAAATGTTTTATGTTCACATCACAATTGTTTCTGGTTTATGTGGTTTGGTTGATTTGGTGTACACATTAGGCATATGTACGTAGTGAATAAAGACTATTCCTCTTCGAACAGTCAAAGTTGATCGAAGTACCAACACAAACTACCAGTTCTAATTTCGTATTCAACTTGTGTCAAAAGACAATTCAAAAGACAATTCTTAAGCCAACCCCCCCCCCCCCCGTTTATGGATGAAAAACGCTTTCCACTTTACTACTGTTGTTCGAACATTGCTTCGATGACGACCTGTTCGAACTCTATAAATACTTCACCCACGTACCGCAAATGCAAATAATTGTCAACAAAGCCTAAACGCCTTACACGTAAATATGCACATGCTAATATATACTAATTTGTATAAGTATTCAAATTTTGAACCATGTTAAAATTGACCAATACGCCTTTGGGGTCGGCCGCTGGATGGACGAGCGCCCGACAGGCTGGCCTTAATGGTCTCACTAATTGGCCAAATTATCAAAAAATCTTTAGAGCGGTTAACGAGGAACCGATATTGAAAAATCATACTGTATATTGAGGCTTGTAGAATGGAAAAATTAATGTTTTAGGCATTCACAGTAATTAAAAACTGCACATAAAGACTTTTGGCACTGACAATTGCCCGTAGAAACTTTTCATCCAGACGTCCCTAGGGCCGTTCACGAGCAGTGCCAAGCCTCGATCTTGCCTCGCCTCCCCTCCCCTATCCTTCCCCACATCGGGAAGGCTTAGGCATGTTTCGCATGTTTTCAGTGTAGATACTCTACAAGCGTCCTTCAGATCCACTTGGATTACTTGCTGGACCCGTCATTATAATTTATTGGCAAGAAGGTACAATGGTTTGGCGAGATACACAAGATTGGTATTTTTACAGTCCTGCAAAGCCACTAACAGGCATAGCGTTTCCGGCAGGTCCTTAATATAACATATCAGGCAAGATGAAATGGTACATTGTAGCAAGGTTTTATATCAACAAATAACTACAATGTTACATTCACATTACAGTGAACAACGCTCGAGGTTGTACAGCACCTGGGTGAACCACTACTTAATCACCTCCTAGCATCTGTATTTATAGAAGAATGAACAATGCCAAATATGAATAATGTAAAATGTAAAACCGCATTTAGACGAAAGCAAGTAAAAAACTAATGTCAGACTCGCAGAACTCCAGAGCAAACATTTTATTTCTAACAAATTGTATTTTCTACTATAAAACTTATCGTTGCCACAGCGTTGTGATATTTACCTGTGTTCCAACCTGGTGGTGGAGTGGGCAGCGAGACGCAGTGATCACAGACTCCTGCACCAGGAACACTCAACCGTCTTCACCTTGTGTTAATACCTCAAAAGAAATATAGGTACTTCAAGACGGTAAAACAAACTTTTAACTCTTACAAAAAACCCTAAATAAGTCCATATCACAACCACCAGTATCACTGGGCCCTAGTGTCAATACGCTGACCAAGTGTGTTGCTGGTATTGTCTAACACTCAAAAATTAGACCTTAATAAAAGCGACAATATTGACTCGCCGGTCAGAGCAACACCTCCTCCTGCCACGGTCAACACACGACTGGGGTCTCTCCACCAGACAGTCGCTGGAACCCGCCGGACAAACCACCACGATTGTTAACTGGCGTTGACAGAACCATGTAAACAATGACTTCTTGTCAGTTTGCTCTTTGTTACCCATCAAGGAAAGTTGGCTTCATCCCAGTTAATCAAAAACATTTGAATATTTATTTTGTTTTGAGAATCTATGGTAACTGTTGGGCGAGCCGTCTGGCTGTAGAAAACAAATGAACTTCATGCGTCCTTGGTGATGCGTCCTTGGTGATGCGTCCTTGGTGATGCGTCCTGGTCATGCGTCCTGGCTGGCCGCTGAAGGCCCTAGGCAAGCTCGTGTGCTTTTATGAAACACTCGCAGAATTTACTCTTAAACACTCAAAACCCTTAACAGTAATTGTGTATAGACCGCACTGTGTAAAGATTCCTCGAATGACACTTCAACTTATTGGCGGGAACATTAGATTAGCGAGCCTGGCGGGCTGGTAGAGGGCTATCAGGGTAGGGACAGTAACTGGATGGGACCTCGTCGGGTATAATCCCTCGTAACCCCTCCAGTCTACCCTCACACCTGTATACCCTTCCTCATATATACCCATACATCTACAGCAGTATAGTATATACCCATACATCTACAACAGCACAGTAGTGCAGTCGGGTTCGTTCCCGGTCTCACAATCGGGAATCCCGGCGGCAACAGAAATTGTTGCGCATGTTTGCTATCGCCTAATGCCTCTTTTCACCTAGCAGTAAAAATGTGCCCGGGAGTTAGTCAACTGTTGTGTGGTTGCATCCTGGGAAGGGTCAGTAGTGCCACCTTGGGGACCTTGATATAAGCCTAGAATACATATGTACACAGGCTGCCTGTCCCGGAAAAATTAATGAAATATATACTTACACTCATATATATCTACATTCATATATCCACATCAATACATATTTACACATCCATACCCATATTCCGCTCATAATCCAACTCCCATAAACTCGCATTCATATAATTCCACACGAATATGCCACAAAAATACCAACCCCCCATATCCTAACCCATACTCCCATACCCATGCAAAATCCACAAATAAACGTGGCTAATATTTCATTCACTCGGGCCATCGGAGCCTCGAATCCAGGACCACAAAAACGGAAGACTGTAATTTAACCGAACAGGTTAATGAACACCCACAATAAAGAAGGATCTGAGAGACCTGCAACTGGTGTCCAACTGAGACTTTAGGCCCCGCCTCGGGTGCCAGGTGAGTATGGAGGTATAAGGTGATCCATGACCCAGTCACATCAGTTGGAGACCAGTTGCGTGCCTCTGAGATCCTCCTTTATTGTGGATGTTCAGTAGCCTCACCTTCAGTAGTAGACCGTCACCGGACTATCAGAAGCGAGACGGGTTTCCTAAGTTGTTGTGACAACTGTCAAGGGATTAGTAATTAATTTAGAGGTGGTCATACCTGGGTGACGTGGTGGCTAGTGGTAGTGGCCATACAGAAGCAGCAGAGTAGGCAGTCGTTAGGGTGATGAAGGGGTAGTGGCGAGTCCGTGCCTAGTACAGCAGGAGCTATGGGCCAACAGGGAGCTCCTCTAGGTGTAAGCAGGAGCTATGGGCCAGCAGGGAGCTCCTCTAGGTGTAAGCAGGAGCTATGGGCCAGCAGGGAGCTCCTCTAGGTGTAAGTAGGAGCTATGGGCCAACAAGGAGCTCCTCTAGGTGTAAGTAGGAGCTATGGGCCGCCAGGGAGCTCCTCTAGGTGTAAGCAGGAGCTATGGGCCAGCAGGGAGCTCCTCTAGGTGTAAGTAGGAGCTATGGGCCAACAGGGAGCTCCTCTAGGTGTAAGCAGGAGCTATGGGCCACCAGGGAGCTCCTCTAGGTGTAAGTAGGAGCTATGGGCCACCAGGGAGCTCCTCTAGGTCTAAGCAGGAGCTATGGGCCACCAGGGAGCTCCTCTAGGTGTAAGTAGGAGCTATGGGCCGCCAGGGAGCTCCTCTAAGTGTAAGCAGGAGCTATGGGCCGCCAGGGAGCTCCTCTAGGTGTAAGCAGGAGCTATGGGCCGCCAGGGAGCTCCTCTAGGTGTAAGCAGGAGCTATGGGCCGCCAGGGAGTTCCTCTAGGTGTAAGCAGGAGCTATGGGCCGCCAGGGAGCTCCTCTAGGTGTAAGCAGGAGCTATGGGCCGCCAGGGAGCTCCTCTAGGTGTAAGAAGCAGGACTTACAGAGGGCCAGGACTGGAGGGAGTGGTCCCCCACTGCACCAGTTGTAGAGGGTGAAGGGGCAACAGTCACATAATGGTGACTGAGCTTCATCGCGGAGGTATTGCAGTGGCGAGGCATTAAGTTCTCGCTACTGTACACATCAAAATAAATGTATAAAGATCAAAACAAGATTTGGTCACACTAAGACAGGCTCTTACCACTGGCCAGAAGAGGAGGCTCACATGCCACTCAGCTGTTCTCCACGGCCAGGGTGTGTCCAGGGCAGGAGCCAGAGGGAGTCGAGGCCTTCTCTTATCTCTTTACCCAAGCTAATATCTCTATTTATCTGTTTCCCTCTCTTCTAAAACTAAGACCTTACGTGAGATCATTTTAACTCGAGCCCTTGAAGCTGATCTATTATATTTTTATATGCATACACTGTATTTTTTATATTCATATTAGATACTGGGTAAAAATAGAACATTCTGTCATTTCTTTAATTTATTACTTGTAGGTACTTGTGAAAACATGTTCCAAATGAGTTAGATTTGGCATGATCAATCGCTGGTGGAGAGATGATCATAAGAATGGGACAACTGGAGTGAAGCTGCGGTTTTCTAAACGTCTTGTGCTGTAATATTCGTCGTCTTGCTGTTTGAGAAGATGCCCCAGGTGGAAAATCTGGAATACGCAAGCACTGAACATAACAGTTAAAGCCAGTGTCCTCAGACTGCTGGACTATCCAGCCAAGATGGGTCCAGGCTTGATATGAGCCGCCTGAGAGGTTTTCCTTCTCTCATTTTCACACACAATCACTTTCACTTTCTGGAGGGACCAGTGGAGAGGGCGTGGACACGTTGAATACGTGCAAGCGACTGACGGGAGGGAAAGGTGTATGGAGGTAGGTACTCTGGTTAATGAATGGAGCTGTGCTACTGTGCCCTCTGATGAGTGACCTCATTCAAATTAACGTCATAAAGATGTCTATCTTAGTAAGGATAAAGATGTGAAGATTTTTTTTATTTGGCGACATCAGTGTATAGTGTTTTAAGGGTCGAGTTCGTGATAGTCACCAGGAAGTTCACGGGAATAAGTATGGGAATGGGGGGGGGGGGAACACATTTTACGGGGAGGAACGGAACCGATCCCACTCCACCCATGTTGGGCACTTACCTCACAGAAATATCCGTGAAAAGTTTAACACGGCTATCCCAGAGCGTCTGGCCTTTAACCTCGGACAGACAGACAGACAAACAGATAGACAAACATACATACATTCCAATTTATAGATACCGATATATATATATATATATATATATATATATATATATATATATATATATATATATATATATATATATATATATATATATATATATATATATATAACTATCCCTTTGTCACCACGAGGCTTTTAAGAAGGAAGATGTTGATGTTATACTTGATGAAGACTGGCATCAGGCCTCTTGAGTCAGTCGCTTTAACTAGGTAATCCTTGTCGTCTTCGCTCGCTATTGGGGTAATAATCACCAGCATCTGTGAAAGGGAGAGGGAGCGTGAGAGGCTGGCTGGGACAGAGGGGAGGGAGTGAGAGACTGGCTGGGACAGAGGGAGAGGAAGGGACGGATTGGCTGAGACAGGGAGAAGGACCTCTCGTGGAATCCATGTGTTGGTACTCGAGTAGCATATCTGTGTGTTATGAATGACTAACATTTAGCCAGTAATTCCAGAGATAAGGTGTCTCTGGAAACCAGGATGACTTTGGCATGAGGAGGACCGGCCGACGCCCACAGGAGATTCTGGGCTACACCCTAGGGGTGTTGGCAACTGTAATGTCTCATATACTGTATAGACATACCTGAAATATATCTATATATATATATACCTGAAATATATCTGTATATATCTTGTGAATATAGTTACTTATATTTAGTTGTGTTTTTATTGCCTGCTCTGTGTGTCGCTGCTAACCTCGGCAGCCTCTTGTTGATGTGAGAGACTGTCTGGGACAGTGAGAGAGGGAGTGAGAGACTGTCTGGGACAGAGAGAGAGAGGGAGTGAGAGACTGTCTGGGACAGTGAGAGAGGGAGTGAGAGACTGTCTGGGACAGAGAGAGAGAGGGAGTGAGAGACTGTCTGGGACAGAGTGAGAGAGGGAGTGAGAGACTGTCTGGGACAGAGTGAAAGAGGGAGTGAGAGACTGTCTGGGACAGAGAGAGAGAGGGAGTGAGAGACTGTCTGGGACAGAGTGAGAGAGGGAGTGAGAGACTGTCTGGGACAGAGAGAGGGAGTGAGAGACTGTCTGGGACAGAGTGAGAGAGGGAGTGAGAGACTGTCTGGGACAGAGAGAGAGAGGGAGTGAGAGACTGTCTGGGACAGAGTAAGAGAGGGAATGAGAGACTGTCTGGGACAGAGTGAGAGAGGGAGTGAGAGACTGTCTGGGACAGAGTGAGAGAGGGAGTGAGAGACTGTCTGGGACAGAGTGAGAGAGGGAGTGAGAGACTGTCTGGGACAGAGAGAGAGAGGGAGTGAGAGACTGTCTGGGACAGAGTGAGAGAGGGAGTGAGAGACTGTCTGGGACAGAGAGAGAGAGGGAGTGAGAGACTGTCTGGGACAGAGAGAGAGAGGGAGTGAGAGACTGTCTGGGACAGAGAGAGAGAGAGGGAGTGAGAGACTGTCTGGGACAGAGAGAGAGAGGGAGTGAGAGACAGTCTTGGACAGAGAGGGAGGGAGTGATAGACTGTCTGGGGCAGAGTGAGAGACTGTCTGGGACAGAGAGAGAGAGGGAGTGAGAGACTGTCTGGGACAGAGTGAGAGAGGGAGTGAGAGACTGTCTGGGACAGAGAGAGAGAGGGAGTGAGAGACTGTCTGGGACAGAGAGAGAGAGGGAGTGAGAGACTGTCTGGGACAGAGAGAGAGAGGGAGTGAGAGACTGTCTGGGACAGAGAGAGAGGGAGTGAGAGACTGTCTGGGACAGAGAGAGAGGAAGTGAGAGACTGTCTGGGACAGAGAGAGAGGGAGTGAGAGACAATCCCATCCTCAGCCAAAGGCCAGGACCTTTGACCACTCTGATCCAATTAATTTACATAACTCCAGTTTCAAGTCATGTGCATACCAGATTGCATATTTAATTTATAATTTTGCTGATTCATATATTTTGTGTTATATATCATTTTTCAGTGGTTAGTTTTATTACACTGTATGCAGAAGGTGTTTGTGCACACTAAGGAGCTACACATGTGACAAAATGATACATTTGGCAAGAATCTTAGCTCGGACTGAGTGACCTTGAAGACAAGCGCGCCTATGTGGAGCAGAGAGGCCTAACTCCTCGTGCCCCGCCTCTTAGCAGTGCTTCTGCATGCATAAACAGTGTGTGAATCTTTCCTTCTGATCGTGCGATATGATTGGAGTCCCTTTGCTGTGTGGTTGATGTGTAACTCTGTGGCTCGTGCTGTGTGCAGCTGTGAACCTGCCCAGGCGACACTCGAGGCATGGCGACTGCTGCCTCTAAGGCAGGTGCTGCCTCAGTGGCCTCACACCAGAGTGCTAGTACATCAAGTGGTCTACACGAGGAAGATACAAGCATGGTATCTTTCACAGTGAACTCAAATGCTGGACAGGAGGAGCCTGATAGTGACGAAACTCCTTGGACAACTGTTGCGTCCCGGAGGAAGACACAAGGAGTCAAAAATATCATAAATCGTAACCATGAGAAGAAAAGAACCAACCTGCAGTTTCCCTCGGGCACGGGAACTGCAGCAAAATATGCATGGTTGGCTGAGGCAGCCAAAAAACACCCTGGTGGTGGGTATTGGTTGGCGAATAGACATGCAAACCATGTTCGTATGAACAGTACTGATGAGATGTGCAATATTTCTGTACTCAAGAGCTTGCTGGTATAACAATGAGGAAACCACCACCGCCTGCTCATACCCACAGGACACCTGTCATCATTTTTGGTCTGGACCTCTACCAGGATCACACACTGGTAGAGCAGCATGAATATATTTTCAATGCGAAAAGAACTAAGGGCAGAGAGACTATTCTCGCCAACTGGACCAGCGAAGAGACTCCGCCGGAAAGATTTACTGTTCCATGTGCTTATCGGCAACTAACAATGAAGATTTACACCCCTCCCAGGGGCAGGTGTTACAAGTGCCAACGGTGGAATCATGTTGCAAGGAACTGTTGGAATGATGAGCGGTGTGGCCACTGTGCCGGAAAGCATGCAACGTCTGTGTGTGATGCTAAAAAGGGTGGTGCACTAAAACTGAGGTGTGCAAACTGTCACGTGGAGGGAGTTCCCGCCTGGCATGGGGACTGTGCCTCACTCCCGCCGAGACGGGCTGCCCGGGGTACACCAGCTGGGGGCGCCAGTAACCACCCTGGCTCATCTGCTGTGCCCCCACCGGTCACTCCGTCACACTCCCCTCCCTTACCCAACCACTCCAACGCCACGGCTAGTAGCTCGAGTGACACAGTTGTAGGCCCTACCAATTCATGTTGGTCGGGAGGCCTGGATCAGGCACAGAAAATTAGTGAGCTTATGCATACAGTAGAAAAACAAAACAAAATTGTGGAAAACCTGACCAAGCAGATGACCGAACAAAACAAGGAAATCATGCACCAAAAGACGATGATAACCACTCTTCAGGACACTGTGAGAGTATTAATAACTGAGTGCAGGCCACACCAACCTGGGGTACCACCATGTGCTCCCAAGCGGCCAGTACCCCAGGGCAGACCCCAGCAGGGGGTGTCCCAGGCCTCACACCAGCTGGGCTCTCCCACCACGGCTCCCCACACCCCAGCCTCATCAACGCAGTGCGCTATGAACAGAGGTAAACTATTCCACGTAGAAACGCATAGTGCTGTCGATGAGTATTATGGGTCAACTGATCCTGATGATGAACGTAGTGACACTGAGGGTGAGAACTTTAATGGTGATGACGATCAAGATGTTGATACCGGGTCTAATAAACTCTGTTTGAAGGAATACAGTAGTGGAAATGTTGAAAGTGATTGTGGTAAAGAACAAAGTGAAACCAGTGACGCTTGTAGTGATAGTGACGAAGTTCAACTGGACGTGGATGCCCGCCTCGGGCCGCGCACGCCACATCCCAGATGGTTCCGCCGTGACACTTTTAAAGAAATGGTGACAGGTGATGTGCTGACTGAAGAGGAAAAAGAAGCTGTAATAAAGCACTACAACCGGTATGTAGACATACTTGCTTTCCTGAAACTGCAGACTGATAAAGTACAAAAGAACAATGGCGGCCTCTGAATCTCATAAAAGTATTAACGACAAGACCTACCATTAATGTATGATGACTTACTGTAAATATGTAGCTCTTGTAATAGCACTTTCTCTGTAACTAGCTGATATTGTATCTATAAGGTGTGAAGGATTGAAGAAATTGTTTATGTAATAATCTAAGATGAGGTCTGATAAAGACCTTTTGTGCCCTCTGTAATGCTTTTGCGCTACCGCTCACAGGATGAGTATGGGGTGCACAATAAACTAGCCGCCTTCGGCGGCAACAATAAAATCAAAATCTACTCACCTTGAAGCTAACAGACGCTGGGATGGTGTGAAGAATATCTATCTCTCCCCCGTGTGTAGAGATGACCAAGAGGTCGAGGACCTTGGTCTTGAGGGCCGCCACGGCCATGGCTCCAGCGTTGAAGCACTGTACGGGCACTGTCCTGCCCAGGTCACGGTCCTACCGGCCCAGAGAGAACATATCAGGGGTCATCTGGTCAAGAAAATTTTAATTAATGGATCAGCGTTGAGCAAGATAGGCCATAGAAATTTACACTAGAGGAATAGAGAACCGAATCCTGGGGCCGATTTCTGTATGAGGCCTAACAGCAGAGTCGTTGGTCAATAAAGCACATAATAGAGTTCTTTATTTTTTACGGTTCTCTCCGCCCTCAGGTTAAAATAAAGCAAATTGAAAGGCCAGAAGAAACAATGGATGACATAGTAGTCACTGTACTACTGTGTCATGTACTATGTCATCTACTACACATAGATGTCATCTACTACAGTTGGTAAAAAAAACAAAAACAAAAAAATACTACTATATCATACTGTACTGTACTACAGTTGGTAAAAAAAAATAGAGGAACTACATGCGACAAAATCCATGGGGCCAGACTTTTTATACTCTTTTTAAGGCCAGATTCGACAAAGAATTCAAAAATCAGAATAGTTGAATAATAACACAATAGATACAACAAGGTTAGCAGGCGGGGCGCAAAGAGCTAGACTTTAATGAACAAATCCACAAGGGCCGTGACGAGGATTCGAACCTGCGTCCGGGAGCATCCCAGACACTGCCTTAATCGACTGAGCTACACAACAAATCATTGTGGATTTTTTCATTTGATGCATCACGTTAGTGTGATCTCTGTGTGTAAAGCTAGACTTTACTTGTCCGTAGTCGTTAGTAAGTAAGTACTGATAGCTAACTACGCACACATAGGGTGATGAAGCGCAGTGGGCTCACAATCGAGGATCCCGGCTTTGATCCCTTCGGAAGGCTGGAAACGTTTGGACAACCTTTTCTCTCGCCTCTGTTCACTTAGCAGTAAATAAGTACCTGGGAGCTAAACAACTGTTATGGGTTGAATGGTGGTGATGGTCAGTAGTTGGCCTAGTAGATATGAAAGAATAAATAGGTCTGGAGTCATTGCATTAAACATCCGGCTGCTAGAAAGGCGGGGCCCAAAAGTTAAAAGCTCGATCCAGCAGGCACAAACAGCTCACTACTCACAAATACAACTAGTTGAGTACTCACACACAAGCAAGAACATGAGTGAAAAGGTAAGCTGAGAGACAACATGACCTTGACACAGAGTCCAAAATAACCAGCAACTGAAACTGTCAAACAACCACATACAGACGAAGGTGTGTATAAACGTTCATATGATAAGACTGAACGAGGAAGATAGAAGGGTGAGTTATTTTCATGACTCAGACATGAGTCAGACAGTTTCATGGTCTGAAATAAAATCGGGCAGGTGATGTCCGTAGATTTAGATGTTTGCTTTCGTGATCTATCCTGCGAGATGGGGACTTTCAGTATCACTACTACCTTATTCACTCTTGTGTTGATGATATCCTCACAATGCACCCAGAGTCTGTCAGTGCAGACTACTGATCACATGGCCCTGTATGACTAACCAACCTGTTTGATGGGGATTTTAGCATTACATACTAGTTCTTGACACACTATGTAACCCTTCCCATAGTCTAGGGCAGCAGTATACACGCTGATGTACCGAAATATGATAATAAATAAAAATCAAGTCTCGAAAATGATGAACGTTAATTCATTCGGGTTGGGAACATGGAGGTGAAGAGGAGTGGAGGAGTGGGAGCGTGCTGGGGGAGAGGGAAGAAGAGAGGGGAAGTGAAGGGGGATGTAGAGAGGAAAGGAGATGCGGGAGGGTGGGGGATAGGGTGGAGAGGTAAGGTGAGGGGAAGAGAAGGGAATGCTGGGGAAGAGGAGAAAAAGGTGAAGAGCGTAGGAATAGAATTAAATGATTAGGAGAAATCACCAAGCCATTACGACTATATAGCACTGGGAAGGGATCAGAATAAGGATTTGGGATGGTAAGGGGGGAAAGGAATGGTGCCCAACCCCTTGGACGGTCGGGGATTGAACGACGACCTGCATGAAGCGAGACCGTCGCTCAACCGTCCAGCCCAAGTGATTGAGAGAAGAGAGGGGCGTGAGAGGGGGGGGGGGAGGAGAGGGAGACCCGGGCGCAGCGGGGTAACCCAGCTAGTATATAATAAAGGATTAAAGTAGTGTGGTTGCAGGACACACCAGCCTCACTAGCGAGCATCCCCCGCCAGCTGCCAGAGAGAGACAGGTCCCAGGAAGACCTGCTGCCCAATACTTCAAACTCATAAATAAGCTCAGCAACTTAAGACAAAGAAGCCATCCAAATTCCATGTACAAGTAATGACAAACCTACTAGTAAATATGCAGCTTCCATCATGAACCCCAAAATAAAATGAGAAAATATCTTTCTTCAGCTGAAGGGACTGAGCTACGAGGAGGAACTAAGAGAGCTAAAGTTGATGACACTGGAGGAAAGAGGGAATAGAGGTGACATGTACAGCGACGTGTAAGAGTTTACTGGAGAGTATACTTCAACCTTCTGGCACCTCACCTCACATCCTCACCGTATATATTGACCTTCTCAACCACACTGCACTGCCACCTCTTGGGTGGCTTAATCTTTATCAATCAATCAATCGAATAGCACACACCATTTGGTCCGGGAGACATCTCCCGTCACGCAGGGTGCAGTTACGCCTCCACAGATCTCCAGTATCATCTTTTGATACTGGTAATGGCTCAAAAGGGCCACCACTTACGGCCTATTCATGCCCGTGCCACCTTTTGGGTGGCTTAATCTTCATCAATCAATCACACTGCACACGGGCTCACCATAGCCCGTGCTACATGGACACTTAGTTCTGAGTAGCTAAATCTGAAACAACAAAACAACCACACTGCAGTCGAATGCTCTACCGCTGAGCTACACCTCCCCTTCCCATCACAAGTTACAGCCCCGCTCCTGTGCCAGGTAAGTCCACTCCGGGCTGACCATAGCCCGTCCTATTTGGAATTTTTTGTTCCAAGCAGCGAATCTTAAACAACAACATCAACAACCACGCTCTTTACAGCCTAGAGTACATAACAAAATCATCACCAAAAAACTCTCACACCTCAACAAAGACCATCTACACCAGAGAGTAGCAGAAGGTTCGCCCCCTGCAATATAGTATCTTCAGGCTACCAAGTTAAAAAAGGTTAAATATCTCAAAAGGAATCCCCAGGGAAATAGCAGTTCGGTTATATAGACTCCGTCTAGGTTACAGATGCAACTGGGAGATTGGTGAACCCCGACAGGGGGAATGCATCTTCTACCAAACAATCTCAGAAAAGTCACTACTTCACTATCTCCTGGAATGTGAAGTAACCAATGACCTTAAAAGAGCTTTAAGAGTCCCTGAATCTTGCAGTAACCACCCTGAAGCCATCAACACTGCCACTCTTCTGGTCAAAAAAGGTGTCCAGCAGCTGGACACTCGCATAAATACTGTCAAGCAGTATCCTCCCCTTCGATAGCAGCCTGACGATTAAATGCGACCTTAGCACACTATATACATTCACTCCAAAAAATCTATCATTTACGGGCTATTCATGCTCGTTCGACCTCTTAGGTGGCCTAATCTTTATCAATCAATCAATGAGGACTGACGGGTTTTAATGCGTACTCAGCACACAGTATATATCAATTCACGACCAAAGTTCACATTCACTCCAAAAAATCTACCACTTACGGGCTACTAATGCCCGTGCCACCTTTTGGGTGGCTTAATCTTCATCAATCACACTTTCTTCACACGATTTGATAATGGTACAGGACGGAACGAAACGTTGTTAATTCTCATTTTCAGTTGTGTGGGTTGGATAAATCTGTGCGTGTAAATACACACAGAGAAGCTGTGGTCACACTGAGGAGCAACAGAGCGAGCCTACACAAGCGCACATAGGCCTCAGAAAAGTTACAAAGAACATATACAGCGCAAGAGATGTACCTGTAAATAAATGTAATATGTTAGGAATGGTTGAAACTAACTCCATACAGTTTTAAATGTATAGATAATAAGAGAAATAAAGAGAGTAATTACAGGAGAGTAAAGAGACAGGCGCACCTACGTCCAATGAGACGTACTGAAGGAGTTTGTTGTTGCTCTTCTGTAGTCTGTAGAGGAGAGGCGGAAGGTTGGCAGGAGTCCTCCGGATCCACAGCTGATCCTAGAAGGCCAACACACCCCCAAGAATTATTTATCACCACCAAAAATACCAAAAAACGATCCACATACTAAAAACAAAATTATGTGCAGAAATGCAGAAGTAAACTGAAATATATTTTTTCTGCTGCTTTTATATAACATCAGGAAGGAGGGACAGTCATCAGGAACTAGGTCTCAGTTCCAGATATATGTTATTAGTATATCGCAGTGCCCCAGTTACTGTTTAGCCCTACTGTGATCTACAGCTGTGAGGACAGGGGTCTTTTTTTTTTTTTTTTTTTTACCACAAACGTGGCCACACATTTACAATGCTAACCAGCATATATACATTTTCTTCTGTCCTCCATAGACAGGGTTAGAGATCAGTTAAACATATAGTTCAGGGATTTATTGAACAATCAACCACAGAAGGTGATTCGGTATTTTTAAAATGCTATGCTAACCTACATACGTAAATACATAGATACACAGATTTACGTATGCCCAACATAAAGTGTTCGAAGTGCCATTAATGTGCATTTACAAAGGTGAAATGCAATTCTGATCAGCTTCCATATGTACTTTATACACATACATATACATACACACACATATATACGTACATATACACATATACATGCATATATACACACACATGCATTCACATACATTTGTCTCTTTTACTCTGACAGGGTGAGATAGCTGACAGAGAAACTAGTGTGCAATTAAGCACTTAATCACTGAAGGTGTTTAAGGTGCTTTTACAAGCTCAGGTTATATAGTTACATCACATACATACATTGTATAAATGATACATTACGTGGTCAATCTTGGATACAAGTCCAATATATCAAGTGTTCCAGTGCTCATATAGTAATTACACAGTTCAGCATACCTCAGCCCAGGAGGGCGAAAGTCAGACAATATGGGACATTCTACAATATAATGTTCAAGAGAGTGCATGTTTTCTCTTTCACAAAGTTGACACATGGTGTACTCGACATTTGGGTTTTGAGAAAGCTGCCAGATACGTCTATATCCCAGGCGAATTCTGGCCACTATAACATCACATTGCCGGGTTCTTGTTCTATTAGTCCCATATATGAATGTCTCCTCACGATATCATAATATTTAATGCCACAACTTTCAGGTCTTTGTGAATTTGTTAGGTCGGTGAGATCTTCATTAGATATTTGTTTAAGTATTCTCTTTGTCACTGCTAATGAAACACCCATATCAATTTCTACCACTGGTTTTCTACAGGCTGTCTTAGCAAGCATATCAACAGTGTCATGCCAGACAACACAGGCCAGGGGTCTACTGGGCGGGCAGCGTTGGTCTCGCTAGCAACAGGTGTCAGGGAAAGGCGCTTTCCCATCGACATCAACACTGAGCCAGCCACCACTTCACGACCATCATAATGGCTGTACACCTGTAACAGCATCACTCCCTGAGATACACCTCCACCAGCATCACTCCCTAAGATACAGTTGCAACAGCATCACTCCCTGAGATGCACTTGCAACCGTATCACCCCTGAGACACACCTCCAGCACAACTCCTGGGATTTTTTTTCAGGGATATTCCTGCGCGGGCCCTAAGCCTCTGGCTGGCCCATAAATGTTGCTTGTTTCTGTTTTACTTGGGCGGAGTATGAGTATTTATTACTCGTATGGTCGCTTCGGTAAGATTTTGCCATATGTGTTCAACAACTTCTGCTCTGTTGAATCTAAGTTGAAATCTTAATGGGTTTGTAACTGTGCACTGTGTTAGATAATGTTCCAGTGGTCTGTCGGGCATTTCTCCACAGTGCTGACATTTCCTCTCATCTTCCGGAACCTGTAAGCCTATTTCCCATGCACATGGGTATCCAAGCCTGATGCGATGTAAGTGTACTTCTGTTGTTTTGCTGCTCCCACCCCTGAGATGCACCACCTACAACAGTACAAGGAAGCCTACACTAACTGTCCCCCCCACTACACCACTTACCCAAACGCCCACACCGCTGAAAGTTCCCCTACCATATAGAACCGCCACACCTCTCATTCCCACTACACACCCACTACCACTATTACCACACTTCTGACACAACCACCACCACCATTACAACACCTACACCACAACCACACCTCTCACACCCACCACCAACACTACCACACTTCCCACACTGACCACTAATTCAGCACTACCTACACCCTGTACTAACACAACTCCCACTCTCACCACCACTACTAGCACACCTCCCTACCAGCTACCACACCCGCAACCATCACTACCACACCTTCCAAACACAACACAACTACCCGCTTGACACTATCTCCTACCGCACATCTTCCTTACCACTACCACACCTTCCCTATCACTACCACACACACATTCCCTACCACATCCAAATAAACAACTAAATCCCACCATTCTGTGACCATAATCTGGAGTTGCGCAGGCGTTGATTGTGTAGGCTGACCTGCGCAGGAGCCGGAGCCTGGTGTAGGCCCGCAGGTCGGGCTCCACCAGCACCCCGCGGAACCCTAGCTGCTGCTCTACGTACAGGCTCATCGACTGGAATTCACCGTCGTTGGCACCGATTTCCATAAACGTTCCTGGAACCTGCAAGAGACAAGGAGAGACTCGCGATTACTGTACTCATCTAGTTGTGCTTGCGGGGGTGGAGCTCTGGCTCTTTGGTCCCGCCTCTCAACTGTCAACCAACTGGTGTACAGATTCCTGAGCCTACTGGGCTCTATCATATCTACATTTGAAACTGTGTATGGAGTCAGCCTCCACCACATCATTGCCTAATGCATTCCATCTGTTAACTACTCTGACACTGAAAAAGTTCTTTCTAACGTCCCTGTGGCTCATTTGGGTACTCAGCTTCCACCTGTGCCCTCTTGTTCGCATATCATTAGTGTTAAAGAGTTGATCTGTATCTATCCTGTCAATTCCTGAGAATTTTGTAGGTAGTAATCATGTCTCTCCTAACTCTTCTGTCTTCCAGTGTCGTGAGGTTCAGTTCCAGTAATCTTTACTCATACCTCATTCCTCTCAGCTCGGGGACTAGACTGGTGACATACCTCTAAACCTTTTCTAACTTCGTTTTGTGTTTGCCTAGATGTGGACGCCACGCTGGAGCCCCATATTCCAGTATTGGTCTAATATATGAGGTATACAAGGTTCTGAAAGATTCCTTACACAAGTTTCTGAAGGCAGTTCTTATGTTCGCAAGCCTTGCATACGCCGCTGACGTTAACCTTTTGATGTGGGCTTCAGAGGACAGGTCTGTTGTGATATCAGCTCCCAGATCTTTCTCTCGTCCTCACTCCTGAAGGATTTCCTCTCCCAACTGGAACCTTTTGTTTGGCCTCCTGCTCCCTACGCCTATCTTCATCAGTTTGCACTTGCTCGAGTTAAACCCTAGTAGCCAGTTGTTGGACCATTCCTTCAGTTTGTCCAGGTCATCCTGTATCCTCTTGCTGTCCTCCTCTGTCTTAATCCTTCTCATAATTTTAGCATCAACAGCAAACATTGAGAGGAATGAGTCTATACCTTCTGGAAGATCATTCACGTATATTAGAAACAGAATAGGTCCGAATACAGAGCCCTGTGGGAATCCATTGGTGACATCTCGTCAGTCTGAGGTCTCACCCCTCACAGTAACTCTCTGCTTCCTGTTGTTTAGGTACTCCCTTGTCCATTGGACCACCCTACCACTTACTCCAGCTTGTTTCTCCAACTTATGCAAAAGTCTTTTATGGAGTACTGTGTCAAAAGCTTTCTGACAATCCAAGAAAATGCAGTTTGCCCATCCTTCTCTTTCTTGCCTAATGCTTGGTGCTTAGTCATAAAATTCTAATAAACCTGTGAGACACGACTTGCCTTCCCTGAGCCCATGCTGTTGGTGTGTTGCAAAGTCCCTTCTCTCCAGATGTGCCACATAAGCTTTTTCTCACGATCTTCTCTAACACTTTGCAAGGTATACAAGTTAAGAACAACGGCCTGCAGTTTAGGGCCTCCTGCCTATTCCCCCTTTTTGTAGATTGGGACTACGTTAGCTGTCTTCCAACTCTCTGTTAGGTCTCCCATTTCCAGTGCCTTGTTATACACCATAGATAATGGCATACAAAGTGCTTCTGCCCCCTCTTTTAGCATCCATGGTGATTCCATCAGGTCCAACAGCCTTAGTCATTTCTAGATCAAGCAGATACCTCCTAACCTCATCTCTGGTAATTTCAGTATTTTCCAAGTCTGCTTGGTTTATCGCCACCCCTCTTAGTTCAGGGACTTCTCCTTGCTCTACTGTGAAGACCTCCTGGAATCTCTTGTTGAGTTCTTCACACACTTCTTTGTCATTCTCTGTGTACCCATCCTCTCCCTTTTTCAGTTTCATCACTTGTTATTTCACTGTTGTTTTCCTCCTGATGTGGCTGTATAGCAGTTTTGGCTGGTTCTTGGCATTATTTGCTCCCATTTTCAAACTGCCTCTCTGCTTCTCTCCTCACACTGAGGTACCCAGTTCTGGCCCTCTGGTATCTCTCTCTCTCTCTCTCTCTGCTCTCTGGTGTCCTGTTATTTACGTAGTTTTTCCATGCCCTTGTGCTTAGCTGTCTTGCTTTCTTACATGCTGATTGAACCACGGATTCCCCTTGTGCTTTTCTGTATTTTTCTTCTTTGCCGGGATAAACCATGGGCCAGATTCACGAAAGCACTTACTCAAGAACGTACGAACGTGTACATCTTTCCTCAATCTTTGACGGCTTTGGTTACATTTATAAAACAGTTTACAAGCATGAAAACTTCCCATTCAATTGTTGTTATTGTTATAAACAGCCTCCTGGTGCTTCGAGCTCATTAACTGTTTAATAATTGGAAACAAAGCCGCCAAAGTTTGAGAAAAGATGTACACGTTCGTAAGTGCTTGCGTAAGTTCTTTCGTGAATCTGGCCCCTATTTTCTGCCTCCTGACCCTTCTGGGTGATGTAGTCCATCATGCCTTCTACAGACTTTCCACTGAGTTTTGTCTTTCATGGTATTCCTGCTAGAAATGTTCTAATTTCATCATAGTTTCCCCTTCGGTATTCTTCCCTTTCGGTACTGTGGAGAGGCGCGACTCCTTACCGATCAGTACTCACCTGTTAATGAGTACGGTGAGGTCCAGTTCTTTATGCCCCGCCTACTGACCTTGTTGTACGTGTTGTTTTATACCTTAACTATTCTGACACTCAAATTCTGTCTAATCTGTCCTTAGAGTTGTGGGTGGAGGTGGCTTCCACAACTTCTCCTCCTAGTGCACTCTACTTGTTAACCACCCGTACTGGGTACAAGTATTTCCTTGTACCCTGTACATTTCTTCGACTCTTTGCACTTTCAACTTCCATTTGTGTCCTCGTGTCGTACTTTCTCTTTATTTAAATAGGATATTCCTGTCCGCTTTGTCTATTTCCTTTAATATCTTGTATGTTGTAATCATATCTCCTCTGTTTTGTCCTCCAGGATTGTAAGGCCCAGTTCCTTCAAACTATCCTAATAACTTAAGCTTCTTAGCTCTGGGACTAGTCCGGCATTAGCACTAGTCGCAAACCTCTGCAGTTTTTCAATTTCATTTTATGCTTCACAAAGTGTGGATTCCAGGCTGGAGCTCCATATTCCAGTATTGGTCTAACAAAAGGACTCTAGATTACTTTGAAACATTCCTGATTTAAGTTTCTAAATGGTGTTCTAATGTTCGCCAGCGACCCATATGCTGCTGATGTCTTCCTACCTATGTGTGCCTCTGATCATAATTATATCCACTCCTTACTCGCGTTCTTTCTCAAAGTCCAATAGCTGCTTCCCATTCATGGTGAAGGCACTTTCTGATTTCCCTCTCCCTCTTCCCCATCCTCATTACCTTACATTTATTAAGATTGAACGCCAGCAACCATTAGTTTGTCCACTCTTGGAATTTGTCAAGGTCCTCCTGTAACATCTTTCTAACCATCTATGTGTCCTCTATTATATCTACTACTGTATCTACTATCTTCTCTCTTAACACACGCGCACACATACACATAAACAGGTTATGAGATTAAGGATAGGGGCGGAAGGATTCACTACAAATGACAAGGAAGTGTGTGAGGAATTGAATAAGAAATTCCAGGAGGTCTTCACCTTGGAACAAGGAGAAATTCCAGAGGTAAGTGAGGGAATAGCTAACCAGGAACCACTGGAAGAGTTTGAGATTACCAGTGGGGAAGTAAGGAAGTGTTTACTAGAGTTGGACGTGACGAAGGCTATAGGCCCAGATGGAATCTCCCCTTGGGTTCTAAAGGAAGGAGCAAGAGAACTGAGCCTACCACTCTCCATAGTGTATAACAAATCACTGGCAACAGGGGAACTGCCAGATATTTGGAAAGCAGCTAACGTAGTCCCGATATACAAGAAAGGGGATAGACAGGAGGCACTGAACTACAGGCCAGTGTCCCTAACCTGCATACCATGCAAGCTGATGGAGAAGATTGTGCGAAAAAAACTAGTGGAGCATCTGGAGCGAAGGAACTTTGTAACACAGCATCAACATGGGTTCAGGGATGGCAGGTCCTGCCTCACAGGGTTACTTGAATTCTACGACCAGGCAACAAAAATAAGGCAAGAAAGAGAAGGGTGGGCAGACTGCATATTTTTGGATTGTCAGAAAGCCTTTGATACAGTGCCACACAAGAGGCTAGTGCGAAAGTTGGAGATGCAGGCTGGAGTGAGAGGGAAGGTACTCCGGTGGATAGAGGAATACCTAAGCAACAGGAGACAACGAGTCTGTGTGAGGGGTGAGGTCTCAGATTGGCGAGACGTCACAAGTGGAGTCCCGCAGGGGTCAGTCCTTGGACCTATACTGCTTCTGGTATATGTAAATGATCTCCCAGAGGGTATAGATTCGTTCCTCTCAATGTTTGCCGACGATGCAAAAATTATGAGGAGGATTGAAACAGAGGATGATAGTAGGAGGCTACAAGATGACCTGGATAGACTGAGTGAATGGTCCAACAAATGGCTGTTGAAGTTCAACCCGAGTAAATGCAAAGTAATGAAACTAGGCAGTGGAAACAGGAGGCCAGGCACAGGATACAGAATAGGAGATGAAGTACTTAATGAAACAGACAGAGAGAAAGATCTAGGAGTTGATATCACACCAAACCTGTCTCCTGAAGCCCACATAAAGAGAATAACGTCTGCGGCATATGCGAGGCTGGCTAACATCAGAACGGCGTTCAGGAACCTGTGTAAGGAATCATTCAGAATCTTGTACACCACATATGTAAGACCAATCCTGGAGTATGCGGCCCCAGCATGGAGCCCGTACCTTGTCAAGCACAAGACGAAGCTGGAAAAAGTCCAAAGGTATGCTACTAGACTAGTCCCAGAACTAAGAGGCATGAGTTATGAGGAAAGGCTGCGGGAAATGCACCTCACGACACTGGAAGACAGAAGAGTAAGGGGGGACATGATCACAACCTACAAAATCCTCAGGGGAATCGACCGGGTAAACAAGGATGAACTTTTCAACACTGGTGGGACGCGAACAAGGGGACACAGGTGGAAGCTGAGTACCCAAATGAGCCACAGAGACGTTAGAAAGAACTTTTTCAGTGTCAGAGTAGTTAGCAAATGGAATGCATTAGGAAGTGATGTGGTGGAGGCTGACTCCATACACAGTTTCAAATGTAGATATGATAGAGCCCAATAGGGTCAGGAATCTGTACACCAGTTGATTGACGGTTGAGAGGCGGGACCAAAGAGCCAGAGCTCAACCCCCGCAAGCACAATTAGGTGAGTACAATTAGGTGAGTACAGGAAGCAGCCCGTAAAAGCTGTCTAACTCCCAGGCACCTATTTACAGCTAGGTGAACAGGAGAATCAGGGTGAAAGAAACTCTGCCCATTTGTTTCCACCTTGGCCGGGAATCGAACCCGGGCCCTTAGGACAACTAATCCCGAGCGCTGTCCACTCAGCCGCGAGGCCCGCTAGGCACAGCCAGGCTGTGTGTGTGTGTAATGATATACGCCTGAGTGTTTTATCTTTTTTAATACATGATCAGAAAGCAGCCAGGCATGTAGTCTAGAATTCAACCAGGAGGCCTGGTCGGGGACCGGGCCGCGAGGACGTTGAACCCCGAAACTATCGCAAGGTAACCGCAAGAGTTCAGTGTATCTGTGGTGCTATGCGTTCATCACACATTTTGTTATTCTTGTATATGTTATACACGAGAGAGTCAACTGGCCTGCTCACCTTGTACTGTTTGAAGTAATCATTAACGACCTTGTAAGCCTCCATCCAGTTGTTCATCAGAGCCCAGGGCGGGTTATCAAGGGCGAAGACTGGCTTGTAGGACCCGCGGGGCGCTGGCTCCTCCACCCAGTACTTCCTCATGTGCAGTATCACGTCCGTGTCCATAGATGAAATTGGCGCCTTCAGAATTTTGATGAGGCACTCTAAGGGTGAGAACTCATTATCAAGAGAAAACACTTGGCTGATATATGAGGACAAGGAGCTGGGATATGAGATATAATAGCTACTGATGAAATTATCTGTGGCTATTATATCAAATTATCAGTGGCTATTATATCAATTATCAGTGGCTATTATATAAATTATCAATGGATATTATATCAAATTATCAGTGGCTATTATATCAAATTATCAGTAGCTCTAAAAACGACTTAATATGGAGACAACTTAGGATGCCTCATACAGCCTTAGTAAACAAACAAGTTGTAGGAATACGTCAGTACTAGTGTCTATACCACACTTTCCGTTAGGTGTTTATATGTCTGCTTATCTTACCTTCTTGGCAGTAGTACTGTAGTCCGGCGCCAGCCTGGAGGGCGAGATTAAGGAAGGCGCAGGTGGAGAACGCCCCGATCACCAGGAACCTCACGTACTCACGCACCACCCTTGACACCTTCTGCTTCCTCTCCCACACGGCCATCACCTACATTAACTAAATATGTTCAGTATTCGATTTAAACTAAAACATTATAAGTGTGGTACTGGATTTTATTCCACCCATATTTGTTAAAAGAACTTTTCTTGAATATGGACTAGGATTATTATTCTGATTTCAACTAGAACGTTGCCCTACAGCCAAATGAGTCTCTGAAAGTTTTGTGTATGTGTTCGGTATGCCTTCAGACTCCGTCAAACAGAATTCGATCAAACTTGGCATGATGGTAGATGAGGTTCATGAAGAGACAACAGGCTATAAACAATCAAACCACCGATCACGTAGGACCCCTCAAAATAAATACGAAAATTGGGTTCCGGTAAAACCCCAAAGGCTTTGATAATGCATGAACTCCGGTGTGTTGGTGATGGAATGATGGTGGAGGGCGGCGAGGGATTGGAGGAGCCTATTGTTAGCAAAAGTTAGTAAACATTGATCTAGGGTTTGCCCGAGTTAAGTAGGAGTACAAAGAGGAACTTGGCCGCCACTATGCTTGGGAGAAAATCGTGTATAATGAAGATCTTTACCCAGTCAGTCTTGACACCTGAAGGAGGTCTTGTACTCACCTAGTTGTGCTTGCGGGGGTTGAGCGTTGGCTCTTTGTACTATATTGTGTATCGTGAGTGTTGACACCTTCATGATTTGTTCAAATCTGAAACAACTGATTATGGGCAGCACAAAACGTAGACCAGACTGTGCGACAGTGGTTGCAAGGATCAGGTTGGGTTACCGTTACCTGTGGCAGGTGGCTGCAGGTGACGGATCTTCCAATCCTGAGCACTCCAGGTGCAAACTCTGTGAGCAGGAACTGCGGCATGATCTCCCACACTACATCACCGAATGCCCAGTTATTAGACCATTCAGACCAGTTGGCATGAGGTACCTAGAGCTTTGCAATTACTTTATTCACTCTCGTGTTCTTGAGGATATCCTCATGTTGCACCCAAAATTTGCCAGTGCAGGCTACTGAACATATGGCCCTGTATGACTAACCATCCTGCGATATGGGGACTTTTAGTATCACTGTTACCTTATTCACTGTGTTGATGATATCCTCATAATGCACCTAGAGTTTGCCAGTGCAGACTACTGTTCACATGCCTTTATATGATTAACCATCCTGTGTGATGGGGATTTTAGCATCACGTAGCTAGCTTTTTGGCACACCCTGTTCTCCCTTTCATATAGTCTAGGCCATCTGCAGAGATGATAAACCTAAATTTGGTAATACAAAAAATTGTTCGCCTAGTAGTAAATATATACCCGGGAGTTAGGCGGCTGTTGTGGGTATGCATCCTGGGGTGGGTCAGTATTTCCACCTTGGGGAGCACCTCGATATGAGTTTAAACTATATATGTACACAGGGTTCCTCTCTCCACGAAAACGAATTATATGTACCTCTTATTTATGGCCTTTCAGCGTCTGTATGCGAATATCGCAGCGTCCGGTGTTTCTATATCCAAACAGACACGGCAGTGTATCTGCTGGAATAGGCTATTCACATCTGTTAGTGATAATTATGCGACACGTAGTCACCTTCCCCCCTTGCCAGCTGGGTTACCACTGACCCGGCTCGGGCAAGCCCCTGGGTGCTGTCTCCGACGCCAGCCACATCACGCAACACCGCTGCCAGCCACACCACGCAACACACACAAACACCTGTCTTCTGAATTATATTATCTGTTCTTGAAAGAGGTGATATTAGTTATGATATAAACGTACAACTGTTATACATGGTTTTCTTTCAGAAGCACATTTGACCAGGTTTATGGTGACACGAGAGTATCAGGGCTGGGAGGCGCTGTGGGTCTGAAGAAGAAACAAGGAAATTGAAGAGGATATTGTTGATGCGGCAGCCGCGGCCATTGGCTACACAAAATAGTACAACAATAATTTTTTCATAGAATTAAATCAAACAAAAACCTGACAGTGGTTCGAGTGGGTCGTTGGTCGCCCAAACTGTATACCTTCTGAACCTTTCTGGATTTTATCGCGTGATTTCCAGTCTGTAAGAGAGAGGGCGACACGTGACATCCTCTGATTGGGTTGAATATCCTCATATCCGCCATCTTTACTAGCATACGCGTCATCTTTACCAGCATACTCATCTTCACCAGCATACTCGTCATCTTCACCAGCTTACTCTCATATTCACCAGCATACTCATATTCACCAGTACATTTATTATCTTTACTACCATACTTGTCATATTCACCAGCATACTCTTATATTCACCAGCATATTCGTCATATTCACCAGCTTATTCACCATATTCACCAGCTTACTCGTCATATTCACCAGCATATTCGTCATATTCACCAGCTTATTCACCATATTCACCACTTAATACTCGTCATGTTCACCAGTATACTCGTCATATTCACCAGTATATTCATCATCTTCACTACCATACTTGTCATATTCACAAGCATACTCTCATATTCACCAGCATACTCTAATATTCACCTGCAGATTGTCATATTTACCAGCATACTCGCCCTATTCACCAGCATACTCGTCATATTCACCAGCACTCAATATATTTATCATCATACTCGTCATATTCACCTGTGGGAAAAATACCGGGATAATGTTGATACAGAGGAAATGCATAGGACATGAAAATTAAGTACTGTAAATACTACATTTGAATACTAAAATTAAAAAGGCTAAGTCTTAGCTAACAACAGGCTGTAGCAGGAAGGTTCCTTAAGGCTGAGCTAGTATTGATAGCAGAACACAATATACCTGCGGGCATTTTAATACATCAGCTTGTATATATATTACAAGGATGAATTGATAAACAGTTCTATGACTGCAAACACTGGTAAGGTTCATGATCAAGGATCTGAACAATATCCAGTCTAGCCTAACTCTGGCAATATTGTAGCAGTCAATAATGAGAATGTGCTAGTACACACAACAAGGTATAATTACACAAGAATAATATATATATATAATGAACAAGGAGAACATTATATACACATGATAACTATATATTCAAATATAGATTTATATGAAGGATTCAGTCACTAAATAGGTTAAGACAGAACTTACTAGATGAAGCGTTGCTTCGCTGTTTAACGACTCTCAATTTATATATATGGATGTATATTAATGTCTTAGCATTCAATTGGCCGATCTACTCTCAAAAACAATTAATAACGTATCTCGAAGTGAGAACCGGAGCCTATTTAAAAGTAGCCAAATGATGTCATGCTGAGACCAAACTCTGTATTTTAATTATGAAATAGCATCTTGATGTTGATTTTGATGTCACAGCGATGCTGTACAGGATTGTTGTTGTTGTTGTTATAGATTCAGCTACTCGAAACAAGTTCCAAGTAGCACGGGCTATGGTGAGCCGGTAACTTACCTAGCACAGGAGCGGGGCAAATAGCACAGGCTATAGTGAGCCCGTAGTGGACTTACCTGGCACAGGAACAGTGCCGTCTGGAGTGTGTACAGGATTCTAGTAGCTTGTTCAAATATGGAGTGCACGTTGTGGCGATTTGCTTGATTGATGTGGTGGTGGTGGGGGAGCCTCACCAACCGGTGGTCCACCACACTTGCTTTGGACAAATATTCTAGGAATTCCTCCTCATAGGAGGAATTTACAGTTCAATAACTCCCCCCAGTATCCAGGGAACCACTATTGAGGATTACAAATGGTTTATGTGTAAATGTCTTGCTGAAAATTGTCTTCTAGCACTTCACACGTGTACCGTTTGGATGTCAACACGTGATTACAGGTACTGGACGAGCCGACAATGATTATAAAATTATTGTGATAACGTTATATCATAAGATAAACACCTAGTGGATTTAAAGATTATTGACAGTACTTAATAATAAATTTATTATTTCATAATTAACGCGTTTATTTTAACGCGGTCATAGCGTTTGCCCAAAACGCTATGCGTATTAGTGGCTTTAGGTATTGTATGTACTAGCTCTATCTATAAAGCCAACATTATGTTTGTAAATCAACTATGTATGTACTTTTCCTGAATAAAAATTTATTTATTTATTTATATTTTAAAATTTGTCCTTTATTAAGGATTTTGAAATTACATCACATGAAGCTATAACTGTGTTCCAATAATATTTTTGATTATCGCTGGTTCCTGCTGGAAGCTTCTAGATTCTTATGATCACATATACAATGTTATATAGGCATTGACCCCAATGGTGTACTTGACCAAATGGTCATGTAGGCTGCTAATGTAGATACTGATGATGCTTAAATCATCAGTAGAGATATGATTCTGATGTATTGATAAGCTATGGAAATATTTCGTTCCTTAGATAATATTATTGATATAGTTGGTGAAATTTTCCACATCACCAGCTCTCATCATATTCATCAGTATACTAGTCATATTCACTAGCATACTCATCATTCACCAGCATACTCGTTATATTCACCAGCATACTCGTTATATTCACCAGCATGCTCATCATATTCACCAGCATACTCGTTATATTCATCAGCATACTCGTCATATTCACATGCATATCCAGCCATATCTAAATAAAAATAATAATAATAATAAATTGTCATCCACACTTCCGTAAAAATAATAATTTCATTCAAACTCAAGAGCCCAGTCGATAGTGCTTATAGTGGGCCAGTCAGAGGCTTATGGCCCGCGCATGAATATCTCTGCAAAAAGAGAAAAAACAATAGTGCCTAATTCGGCCTCACACGCATCTAGTCCCCGGTTCGAGTCTCCTAGAGTCCAGGTGAACGAAATAATAGTAATAATTCATTGTGTCGAGGGACAGGCAGCCAGTGTATTATAAATGTTATGGTTATATTGAAGCCTCTCCCTCCCCTCCCCTTCACGGAGGACAAATTACTGACCCTCCCCAGGATGCAACTCCACAAGATGGCTGAAATGATTCATGATACTTTCCTGTTCGAACCACAATTTTATAAATGCTTCACCTTATATTCCATAAAACAACTAGAGGCAGGTCATGTACCACCAATAAAGTGGGGCCGTCGATGTAACACACTTGCAAGTGCCACTGCAGAAGACAGTGTTGATAGGCTAATGGAATGTGTATATATAGGTTTATGTAATGTGTATATATAGGCTTATGTAATGTGTATTATAGGCTTATGTAATGTGTGAATAGATTTGGTCCCTTGACAAAATAAAATAATTTATTGTTTGGAAAATATAAACAGTATCAATGGCATTTATTTTAAGTATTTTATTTGTCATCACAATACTGTATACAATAATAATAATAATAATAATAATAATAATAATAATAATAATATTAGGATCAAAACCCGCACTTATATATTTGTGAAATTTACGTAAGGAATTACACTTCAAATACATAAATATGGGTTTTTATCCTATGTTATTATGTCTGTGAGCAGACATTGCCATTACTTAATAATAATAATAATAATAATAATAATAATAATAATAATAATAATAATAATAAATTGTCATCTACACTTCCGTGGAAATAAACATTTCATTCACCTGAACTTTAGGAGCATAACAGCAGTAGTTGCTTCTGGAATATTTCCTTATTAAGGCAACTCACAGCTGAATGGATAGAGCTTCTGCCTCACACGCCTAGGGTCCACGGTTCGAGTCTCCTAGAGCCCAGGTGAATGGAATGTTTATGTCCACGGAAGTGTGGATGATAATTTATATGACGCGGGCATGGAACTCCTTTGAATTGGACAGAGACAAACAAACAGTCATTCTCTTGTATAAATATAGATGTGATGCATCTTTTATTTCCGCTCAAGTGGGTATTTTCTGAGTTCGTTTGCGTTGGCCCCAGTTATTTTAGTATAGTTTGACAGTGATAGTAGAGAGGACGACACGACATAGATTCTCCCGACATAAGGGGTCTTAAAACTGGCAAGTCAGTATGGCGCAGAACAGCTGAAGTTCATGGGAGGATGGGGGGGGGGAGCCTTCATGGGAGGACGGGGTTGGGGGCGTTCATGGGAGGACGGGGTTGGGGACGTTCATGGGAGGACGGGGTTGGGGGCGTTCATGGGAGGACGGGGTTGGGGGCGTTCATGGGAGGACAGGGGGTTGACAATTAGAGAAAGAAAGGTGGTAAATCGGGGGAGGGGGGGATAAAGTGGGAGGACTAGGTAAGGAAAATTGGGGGATGGGGGTAGAGCTATAAGAAGTCAAAACTCCTAGACATATTTGACTTCATGTTCGGGAATAAGGATGTGGATGCTGTGCTTGTCGAAGGCGGGCGTCAGGCCTCGAGATTTTGCTACTTTTTTCAGCTCCTCAATCTCTTCCTGCGTGGCCAGAGGAACCATCAGGACCACCATCTGCGGGAGGGAGAAGGCGGACAGGTGAGCCACTCACCTCAGTCACCAGCAACAACAACAACAACACAACAATATAGTGGTCCATGGGGAGCAGAACCCAACTCATACATGAATTTGTTGATGAGTCTAACTGATCAACAATTCAAGATAGTATTACATACAGTGCACGCCCATCTTTTTATGTATTTATCCTTATTTTATTGTCTTTTGTAAGTTTTTAATAATTTTAGCATTACTTTAGTAAAACGTGGAGTTTCATGTGTAATAAGCTGTTTGCAAACAAGCCAGTCATGGACACTCGACTCAGCCAATCACAGTCAGAGTTTCTCGACTCAGCCAATCACAATCAACGTCTCTCGATTCAACCAATCAGTCAGGGTATCACGACTCAACCAATCACAGTCAGGGTATCTCGACTCAACCAGTCAGTCAGGGTCTCTCGACTCAGCCAATTACAGTCAGTGTCTATTGACTCTTCATCACCCTGGCCCACTCTAATAAACTTCATCACATTGGCATTTCTGGAATATTCTTTACTCTTTGCGTTCCTACATCTTGGCACTGTCTCTGGACTCTGACCCTCCAACACATCATGTTGGTCTTTATTGTGGCACTCCTTGATCCTCCCATCCATCATACTGGTCCTTAACGTGGCACCCCTGACCCTCCTATACATTACCCTGGCACTCACCCTGAAGTGGACACGGAGAGAAATGCTGTAAAGAATGTCGAGTTCGCCGCCGTGGGTGGAGATGACGAGCAGGTCGACGACTGCCGTGCGGAGGGCGGCCAGGGCCATTGCCCCGGCATTGAAACACTGCACGTCTACGGTCTTCCCCAGGTCCTGGTCCTGCAGAAGTCAAAACATGTTATCTGGAGTACAGTAGGAGTCAACTGAGGTTATTTGGGGTCTTGTAGGAGTCGACTGAGGTCACCTGAGTCCTCCAGGGACCAACTGAGATCAGTTGGGGTACAGTAGGACTCATGTGAGGTCATCTAGGGTACAATAGGAGTCAACTGAGGTCATCTGAGAAACAGCAAGAGTTAACTAAATTATCTCGAGTACAGCAGGAGTCACTGAGGTCATCTGGGTTCTGCAGGATTCAACTAAGGCCATCTGGCCTCCTGCAGAATTCAACTGAGGCCAGCTGGGATCTTACAAAAGTCAAATGAGGTCATCTAGGCCCTTCAGGAGTCAGCTGAGGACATCTAGCGGTATAGCAGGAGCCAATTGAGATCATTTCGAGTACAGCAGAGGCCAACTGATGTCATTTGGGGTACAATAAGGGTCAATCGAGGTAACCTGGGGTACAGCAGGTGTCACCTGAGATCATCTGGGGTACAATAGGAGTCAACTGATGTCATCTGGGGTAGAAGATGGGTCAACCGAGGTTATCTGGGGGTACAGCAGGGAGGTCAATTAACGTTATCTGAGGTTAGCAGGGGTCAACTGAGGTCATCTGGGGTAGAGCAGGTGTCAACTTCACGTGTGACTTCATAACGAGGCACTTCAATATCGCTTGAGTACATAAAGACGCTGCACTGGGTTATAAGAAGGCATTTTGGGACTTAAACTGGAAACAATGAACCTCTGGGGGAGAAGAAACATGGAAGTTAAATTTAGTAGAGACAACAGAAAGAAACATCCATAATCAGCATATTAGTGAGGATACGAGAAAAAAAAAGAGATGAACATCCAGCCAGACTGGACCTGATCTTCACTCATAATGAGGAAAACAACAGATATTCATGTTTGCAGATGATGATAAACTTATATATGAGAAAATGAGAACAGGAAGGAGAGGAGGAAGTTAGCAGGACCTAGGCACTCTTCGTTGATGGTTTTAATGATGGCTGCTGAACTTCATACAACTTTATGAGACCGGGAACTGGAATCGAAAGACATGAGCTTTTTGTTAGACAAGTGGTTATGAACAACCACAGCACTGGACAAGAAATTGGTGAGATATAATAATGATTTCTAAAATACCCAGCCAGACTAAGGATACTTGACTATAACGAAGACACACAGATGGAAACTAAGTACCGTAATGAGTGGCAGGGAAATTAGGAGACACATCTTCAGCATAACTTAATGAGGATGTAGAACAAACTTAGGTGTGAAGAAAGGGTAAAGACACACACACACGCACTCTCTCTCTTACCCCACCCCACCACCACCACCATCGTCCATCTCCGCCTGCCTTACCTCAGGAGAAACATACTGGACAAGTCTGTTGCTTCCCTCCTGGACCCGACGCAGTAGTGAAGGTAGGTTCTCTGGAGTGTACCGCAGCCACAGCTTGTCCTGGGGGGGGGGGGGGGGCAGGGGTCATTAATGTACTGCGTTGTAATCACTCACATTTTACATGTATTATTATATATAATGTTATTAATTGTCATTACGTTTATAACTGAGAGTAATTATCTTTCGAGCTTCATATGTGTGAGTGGTGTGCCATTGCTAGGCGCCGGTATTTATATTATAATGCAATAAGATAGTGTCTAATTTTATACGTTATAGTCTCCAACGTACAAGTTACAAACTACTATGAAAAGTGGCGGCCCACAAATATCCATATTTTCTCTGTATAGGAAGGTTAGGTTAGGTTAGGTTAGGTGGGTTGCTGGGTTTGTGTTTCTGGTTAGGGGTAGAACTTTGTATTGTGTACCTTGTGGCAGACCAAGCAGGTGAGGCTGCTTGATCTGCCACCTGTTTAGTCACCCAAGTAACAGTGTTCTGTGACATTAGGTAAGAATATGGTATCAATGTTAAATATACAAATTATTTCATATGATTTTTATTAAATCCTTAGTTAATCACCATGTCTTGCACCTAATTAACTTTCTCACTTCCACTTTAACCACATTAGAAGTAATAATGAAAGAAGCCACGAGGGGTAATTCACAATACGCACAAAAACTTTAACTTCAGGGAAGACCTGAATCTTCCAACAATTCTAAAAAGAATCATAAAAGTCAACATGACTTTTTGCATTAAAGTCACGAAAGACCCGACATCTGCAGCATTGTTCTCTGAGACCCACAATTTTGTTCCCTCATTACACCAGCTTACTCCTTGTATAGTAAATGGTCATGAGAATCTTCTAACTCCAGACAAGATTGAACAATTGTCTATTCTTTACAAATAATCTAAGATCTCACGAGCATTAAGTTCACCCTAATGGCTCAGTCCAATCGTCAATAGGAAGCCTATCAGTAATCTGTAGGATTTACAGACATTATTTGTACATAGACTATCTTTGTGAGGTTATCTACTGGCTCAACTCTACAACTAGCGACCAGTACACTGGTAAACATAAGATGAGAGGTAAATTTCTGCGATGTAAATTCTGCTCTTCACGCACCTTAAAACTTCTCCTGCACGATAGACAGCAAGACACTCCTCTTATAAACGTATTCGCGTTTAGATAACGGGTTTAGAATCTCTTTTGTATGGATACCACTTCCCCAAAAATATAACAGATTATTTTAATACAGAAAGCAGCCAAATTAGCATGCAACATAGATGAAGTTAAATGAAAATAAAATGAAAATAGATTAACAAAAAAGTTGAACTAAACCTACAAATACCGATCTGAGTTGTTAAGACTATATTACTCCAAATATTCAGGTCTGATAGGAAAGCACTCACAAAACTCCCTAAGATCCGAAAGTGCGTGTCAAGGGTGCTTCATGTGGTGTCAGGTGTGACTTATGGGCTAAGTTTGGTGCGATGAATGTATTGATTATGGTGAGTAGTGCGTTACATCAAAGGTGTTTAGTGTGTTACATCAAAGGTGTTTAGTGTGTTACATCGAAGGTGTTTAGTGTGTTACATCAAAGGTGGTTAGTGTGTCACATCAAAGGTGTTTAGTGTGTTACATCAAAGGTGTTTAGTGTGTTACATCAAAGGTGTATAGTGTGTTACATCAAAGGTGTTTAGTGTGTTACATCAAAGGTGTTTAGTGTGTTACATCAAAGGTGTTTAGTGTGTTACACCAAAGGTGTTTAGTGTGTTACATCAAAAGTGTTTAGTGTGTTACATCAAAGGTGATTAGTGTGTTACATCAAAGGTGTTTAGTGTTACATCAAAAGTGTTTAGTGTGTTACATCAAAAGTGTTTAGTGTGTTACATCAAAGGTGTTTAATGTGTTACATCAAAGGTGTTTAGTGTATTACATCAAAGGTGTTTAGTGTGTTACATCAAAGGTGTTTAGTGTGTTACATCAAAGGTGTTTAGTGTGTTACATCAAAGGTGTTTAGTGTGTTACATCAACAGTGTTTAGTGTGTTACATCAAAGGTGTTTAGTGTGTTACATCAAAGGTGTTTAGTGTGTCTGAAATGTGTGATTTGTGTTCTACAATAGATATGATGGTGTATCAGGTATGTTTAATGTGGAGTATCGGGTACGGTCTGTGTGAAGTATTGGGTTAGGGCGGTATGGTGTGTCTGGTGTAGTCAGCTGTTGTAGGAACTGTCAGTATAATGTATCAAGCATGGGCAGTATCGGGTGCTAAAGGTATGACTATTGGCCAATCAGGTATATCAGGTATAAGATTAAGATAATATTTCTGGTGTTCAGAGTTGGAGTTCATCGAGCATGAATTAGTATGAGATCTCTAATGGATTTGGTAGAATACTTATGCTGTCTATGGCTCAAGGAGGCGGTATGTGAAAGTTGATCCATCAAGAGGCAGGAAAACCACACAACGGCAAGAGTTAACAGGCACACCTGTGTAATGGACTAACCTTTCTGTGGCCGCCTGCGGGAGTAGCACAGGCGTTGATGGAGAGGGCAGGCCGTCGCATGGCCCGCAGCTTCTGGTAGTCGAAGGGGTTGGGTTCGACCAGCACCCCGCGGAACCCCAGCTGCTGCTCCACAAACAACGTGAGGGACATGAACTCTCCGTCCTGGGCCCCGATCTCCATGAAGGTTCCAGGTTTCTACGAAGACCAGAGAAGAAAAGGCTTCGATTTTCTAAGAAGTGTGTAGTGTAGGATGATTAAAACAAAATAATATAGGCTGCTGTGTCACTCATTTGAAACAGTATATTTTTTAAGAGGTACAGTTATAAATATGAATGCCCTGTAATATGAAAAGTTCATACTTTTTAATAAACCTCACCTCACGTTGCTGGAAAACAGAAGTTAGGGGGGACATGATCACCACATACAAGATTCTCAAAGGAATTGATAGGGTAGACAATTTATTTAACACAAGGGACACACGCACTAGAGAATACAGGTGGAAAACGAGTGCTCAAATGAGCCAAACGAGTGCCCAAATCTTTCTAATGAGCCATTAGAAAGAGTTTTTTGGTGTCAGAGTAGTTAATAAATGGAATGCATTAGGTAGTGATGTGGTGGAGGCTGACTCCATACACAGTTTCAAGTGTAGATATGATAGAGCCCAGTAGGCTGAGGAACCTGTACACAGATTGACAGTTGAGTGGCGGGACCAAAGAGCCAAAGCCCAACCCCCGCAAGCACAAGCACAACTAGGTAAGTATTGAAAGAAGACGCAGTCACGTCCATCCACAAGTCTAAGAACGTACAAGACACAGAACTTGCCAAGAGATGTAAATGATGCGACAAGTACAACAGCCTGATGAAGGTGTGGAACTCCTTCTCATTCTCCATGCGTCACTTATAATTAAGCGCCTGGCACCACTTTAGTAAATAACGACTTAACAATACATAGAAGCAAACACTAAAGCAAACTCCTTACCTCATAGTTTTTGAAATAGTTATTGACAAACTTGTAGGCTTCTCCCCAGTTGCTCAAGGCAGACCACGGCGGGTTGTCGAGGGAGAAGTCTGGCTTGTAGAGCCCCGGCGGTGCTGGCTCGTCCACCCACACCTTCCTGATGTGCGCCACGGCGGCAGAGTCCAGTGATGGCACTGGCCTACGCATTATCCCCTCCACGCACTCTGTGGGAGTTGGTACTCTGTAAGAGCAGGCACTCTGTGGGAGTCGGTACTCTAAGATCAGTCACTCTGGAGAGTCAGTACTCTTTAAGAGCAGTCACCTTGGGAGTTGGTACTGTTATGGTCCCTTGCATATGGGTAAGGTTCATGTGTCTTGCAAACGTAATAATTAAATAGTAATTGTGGCCTTGCCAATAACAAGTGTGTAGGGGATAAATGAAAAATACTGCTTGACAAACACATCAATATACCTCATGAAGGGGTAACAATGAAACAAACATAAAATTCAAGCATTAGGTATCTTCAGAAATGTCTTCGGAGCTCATTACATGTTTAATAATTGTAAACAAAGCCGCCAAAGATTGAGAAAAGATGTTCAGGTTCATAAGTGTTTGCATAATTGCTTCGTGAATCTGGTCCCACGGGCGTCTACACATTACCAACTAATACCCACAAGACTACTCTCGGATACTCTGCTAGCCGAGAGCAATACTTACAAACATCATTAAACACAAAAATATGCAATAATCTCTAATAAGAGGTAATTTAATTTTTTTTAACTATAATAAGAATAATTACAAGGGTACAAGGGTTTAAATCGCGATGCTAAGTTGGATACAATGTCGGGCATCATTGGAGACATCCATATATGGTCATTCCCCCCCCCCCCCACTAGACGCCACTGTCTCCACACATATGAATAAACTTGTATAATAAAATAAATATTATCCAACAGGCACACTACAGCATGCTACAGTAACTCAACCCATATACTTAAGAAAATAATAGGACGTAATGTCACTCTGGGAGTCGGTACTCTGTAAGAGCTACACTGCTAAGAGCTACACTGCTTACTCTGTAAGTCGGTACACTGTGAGAGTTGGTACTCTGTAAGAAGTCACACTGGGAGTATGTACTCTGAAAGAGTAGGCATTTTATGGGAGTTGGTACGCTGTAAGAACAATCACTATGGGAATAGGTACTCTGCATGAGCAATCACTCTGTGAGAGCTGGTACTCTGTAAGAGCAGATTGTAAGAGTAGGCATTCTGGAGTTGGTACTCTGTAAGAGCAGGCACTCTAGGAGTAGACACACTGTAGGAACAGTCCATTTATTAGCGCAGGCACTCAGGTCTGTATAAGGTTGCTACTTTTGTTTTTGTTTATTCATTCTCACCCCCATGTTGCCCCCCCCCCCTCCTTTTTTTGCTGCCTACCTCTTTTTTCACCACATTTCTTGCTGTCTACCTCGTTTTTTCACCCCATTTCTTGCTGCCTACTTCTTGTTTTCACCCCCATTCCTTTAGTCTTCCACCCTCTTCCCCTTTCTCACCTTCGCGGCAGTAGTACTGTAGTCCGGCGCCAGCGTGGAGGGCGAGGTTAAGGAAGGCGCAGGTGGAGAACGCCCCGATCACCAAGAACCTCACGTACTTGCGCACCACCCACGACGCCGTCTGCCCCAGATGGCTCATCGACCTCGTCAACTGTGTCATACAGGTCATAAATAGCTTTGTACGACCCTGTGTGGTTTGTATAAGTACATGTCGCAATTGAGTGTTAAATGTAATGCCCTAATTATCAGTTTTTTTTATAGTGTTAGGCTTGAGGCCTATGAAAAAAAAGCTGTGGGGAGGTTATTAGGCCCACCACAATAGCTTAGTGACTAACCAACTGGAATATTTTAGTCCTTCCAGAACGGTTTATGACCAAGGTAAACTCTCAATGTATATAGACAGGATGTAACGACTGGTGTTTAGAAACACCAAATTGTTTACAGCGTCTGCTATATAGTAGTAATGGCTTGGAGCTTTCCCATAATAGTTCCCTTCCCTTATGTATTATTCCATTTCTTGTGAATTATTTTAAAACTTTAAAACAACGAACAATTAATTTTATGTCGCACAGCCTGCAATCTAATTCTCACAGTTCTCCAATACAAAAATACTGGATTCTGCTTAATATTCATATATATGAAATAAATTTTAATAACACCAAATGCGATTCTGAACTCGACCGAATAATACTGCGAAAATATCTTGTTACCATACAAAAATATTATAATGTGTGAGTGTAAGCCTATTATAAAATACTCCGTAATGATAAATGTATATTTTGATGAAACAACTATGAAAGCTTACCAGATTAACCATGTGACTGGAGTATTTAAATATGCTGGATTGCTTGTCGTAGGGTGCAAACGAGCCCGTAGTTGAGACACTAATGAAATTTATATAAAATAATGTGAATGTTGTGCGTGAGAAAGAACACCCGAGCCCTTGGTAGTGATGGAGGCCACTGATCACTTCCAGACCTCATACGTGTTCCTCAGGCAATTGTCCTCCTGGAGGTTGATCATTGATAACAAATAAGTTTCCTAATATGGGTTACCTTTAGCCTATAGCACGCTAATAATGAATGTTGAAATATGATACAAATGTTTATTAGGGAATTCGTCCATATAACTTGTATGAAGATCCTAAAAATATTAGTACAGAGGCGGTCGGCAACTGTCAGTAGACGTGGTAGGACGCCGCCGGCCCTTTCACCAGGATAAACTACACCATATTATAAACACCAGTCTCATCCGTCGCTGGAATACACGATTTTTAGTATATTTAAAGACAATCTATTGTCTGTTCATAATATATATGTTTCATTTTGCGTGTAAATCTGGAAAATATAACAATTGTGTGATTGACGTTCATTATGCAGCACACATATATCTATTTCTGTATAAAAAGATAATGTGTCTATAGCTGGAGGCCAGATGCTTGCGGCTAGCCTAACACAACTTTGCAAGGTGACTAGTGTGGGCTAGGGCACTGCCATAGGCGGGTCGAGGGTCAGCCCCATTTCTCTCCTTCAAGGGGGTCGGCTTCCATGGTGATCTTCATGAAGTCGATGGAGACGAAATAGTGGCCACGAAGTCCACTGAATTTCATTTGTTCATAGTATGTAGAATTCAAATATTGACATACGAAACGCATATTCTGATAGCAGATTTGCATTCTGGAGGCTCCAACACTTCAATAATGCCTTGTGCCCCATTTATTATCCTGTGTGTGAGAAACCAAGTTATCGTGGGTGATGTTTTGGAATATTTCTACTAGAAGAATTTACATTTGGTTAGGTCTACAGCAGAAGAGGAAGTAACCTCTCTAAATAGCCTAGTCGACACCAAGCAGTAGGAACATCATTCAAATTGTCATGTTGAGTAAACAAGTATTTGAAATAATTGGCGCTGATTGGCTCTGTTTCGACTCTAACCCTAAATTTAAACAAAACTTGCACTTTGTCCTCATTAATTATAACATCTGTATTGGAAAAAAAGTTTCTAAAAATTTGCCCAAACGGAATAATACAGTATCTTACTGTAGTGAAGATGATGCTCATATTCACAGCAACACTAGACAGTGGGTCACACATAAAGACAAGAGGTGTAAATAAAAGATTTTATCAGTAATATACCAGTCGGCTACTGTCTACTACATACAATTATTTTTTAATAAACACATTTTTAAATATATAAATTGTTATTGTTCACTGCCACACATGCAGTTAAAAATGCAGATGTAGTTTAAAAATACTAATATATTGACAATAATTTTTTTTATGGAATATTACGATGTCTTCCAATATACCAGATTGAAGGAAACAGCTACTTAGTTAATTGTACAGGATGTCTAAAACTTTTTTCAGTATCACATTCAATAATATCGGTGTTCAAGTAAATATTTTAACGATTCATTCAAAATTATCTGCTGCCAGAATTCTTAGCCAAATATCCCCAGTTTGCTAACTGTAGGTAGTAACTAAGTGATTGTAACTTATCCACCGCTGCCCACTGGATGGGGGGCGGTGTGCAGGATAAACATATAAATTGTGACACTAGCTCTCCACGTATGTCGGTTGCTAAATTTAGAAACTGTACTTGTGGTCGGTCTCGCGTCCATTGTTTATGTGACAATGTGCATTGAATTTTGTAACTAGCTCATCAAGATTGTAACGCTTAGCTAAATGAATTGTGGGGTTTAGTCCCTGAGCCCATTATGTGCCTCTGTAACCCTTCCCACTACCACCCACAGAATAGGTGTGGGGTGCATAATAAATGAACGAAACTAACTCGTCAGAAAGTTTACAGGGGGGAGTATTCTGGTATTTTTTTCTTTATTAAATAATATATAATATAAAGATCCCATTTACATAAATTTACAAGGAAAAATAAATTGCCGGATGTGCCTTTAGCCAAGGCGAATTACCACAACCATTATACCACACCACATAGAATGGCACAATTACTTTTCTAAATTTGAAGTATTTTTTATTTGAATGTTTTTAATAATTGTGTTAATCCAGAGTCACAATTATATTAATTCTTGCAAGCTGCACTGGCTAATCTATGTATAAGTTCCGCTTTCTAACTTCACCATGGGATGGAATCCTAACAAATTTAATACAAAATTTATTATCGTTGACACGAATCGCATAACCTTCAGTTGATTAGAGATTTCTCAGATAATTGGCAGGAGCTTCTAGTGTTACTCATCTCAGAGTTCGAGTGGTACTGTATGCTTGCTTTAAACTGATGGGTGTATACTGTATCGAGACTCACACACCTTTCCAAAGGGTAATATAGTTAGTAATGTTATCAGTTTTAAGAGACACTTTCAATTTCAAGAGATTTTTGGCACTATAAATGAACCACATACGGTAGAGAACCTTTTTTATTTGTAGGATTGATGGAATAAGTCAGAATTGTTAAGGTTGGATCTCAGTTTAATTTAAATAATGCTGGAGGGACCATTAATTTGAAAATGTTTAAGATAAAACATAGCATTAAATAGAAATGTTCTCTCATAAACAGACAATAATCTTAGTTCTTTCTTCATGTTAACAGTAAAAGCAGTTTAACATGTTTTTTTTTATCTATGAGCATGTGTTAAATAGCTTGTCAAGTCCCAGTAATTTTTTATGAAATATTAATACCAACATGCTCCTCCTCCTTCATCAAGTCACACATCGACTGAAATTACTGTCAAAATAACAATGCACTTATAACATAAAAATCTATTGTCAGAATCAGAGGTTTTATTCGTAACAACTTATACAAATAGTTATAATTCGGAGCAGGGCTACAGCGGTGTACATAGAGAATATTAATGTATGGAATAATATAGTCAACATTCGCATATTTTGCGTCATTATATAATGGAATGTGAAAAAATCGCGGAATTTAGAGATAACACCATCAATAGTGTCCAAGAAATGTGTAAGTACTTCCTTCATAATGATGTGCTGCCCGAAATCTTAGCGAAGTATCCAAAATTTACTTACTGTAAGTAATGCATGCACATGACTGTAAAGCTGCCGCCCAGTTGGGTGGGTGTGCAGCAAGACTAGTAACTGTGCGACTCATCATAGATGTAAAGTGCCTTGTATAGTGACTGTTGTGAGCCACTTGTTGAATCACTTGTGACACAAAAGATTATTGATGTGTGTATTTGTGTTGGTGATTAAATATGTATGTGTATGTGTATATGTACATGTATGCATGAGTATGTGTACATGTATATATAACATTAATAATTTTGTAACTAGCGTCAAAAGATTGTTATTTGCTTAGCTAAACGAACTAGAGGGTTCAGTTCCTGAACCGATTATGTGCCTCTGTAATCTTTTACACCACCACCCACGGGATGGGTATGGGGTGCATAATAAAGAAAGAAATTGAATTGGAGGCATTTCAGTATCTTCATTACCTATAGCTGCCCACTAATTCCTCTCAGACTTGGCGTTCAATGGCCTACCCGGCTTGGTACCCTCTTTTGATAATTACAAACATACATTCAAGACTTAAAACAATAATTTACACATTAACCAATCATGACAAATCTAATGTATTAATTAGTATGTAATTCCAGAACATATGTAAATTGACAGATTAACAAAGATACTGCAAACAATCTTTTGAAACAAAATAACGCCTTTACTAAAAGTAAAGCTCACAGAATCAAGAAATTCATGACATATTAAATATAGTGACAGTTCTTGTCACTATTTTCATGATAACCTTTCAACACTACCCCATCCTCACTTGTATGTCGCCCTGAAGCTCCCAGCGCGAGGTCAGTCTGACTTTACTCTTACTCAAAATGTTTGCATTTCGCGTCATTGTGAGGCTTCTACCGACATGACTGGATGGGACAGTGCGATAGTTGTTCGTTGAGCACATAAGAACATAAGAGTAAGGGTAACTGCAGAAGGCCTGTTGGCCCACACGAGGCAGCTCCTAAGAAGCAATAGAAGAAGCAATATATGATCCTAGTCTGTTCTCCTTGATCACAAACCGAGGTCCACGAAGATGGGAGCCTAACAATTCCTTTTTCGAATTATTGCAGAAAGATTCGAACTTCTTACCTGTGGCAAGCAAGGTCAACACACACAGGCCACTTCCTCCCAGAACAAGTTACAAGTATGGGATGAAGGCGTCTTGCAGTGTAGTGTGAGGGAGAGCAGTGTAGGCTGGTGTAGTGTGAGGTAGAGCAGTGTGGGCAGGTATAGTGTGAGGTAGAGCAGTGTGTGCAGGTATAGTGTGAGGTAGAACAGTGTGGGCTGGTGTAGTGTGAGGTAGAGCAGTGTGGGCTGGTGTAGTGTGAGGTAGAGCAGTGTGGGCTGGTGTAGTGTGAGGTAGAGCAGTGTGGGCTGGTGTAGTGAGGGCTGGTATAGTGTGGGACCGAGCAGTGTGGGCTGGTGTAGTGTGAGGTAGAGCAGTGTGGGCTGGTGTAGTATGAGGTAGAGCAGTGTGGGCTGGTGTAGTGAGGGCTGGTATAGTGTGGGACCGAGCAGTGTGGGCTGGTGTAGTGTGAGGTAGAGCAGTGTGGGCTGGTGTAGTATGAGGTAGAGCAGTGTGGGCTGGTGTAGTGAGGGCTGGTATAGTGTGGGACCGAGCAGTGTGGGCTGGTGTAGTGAGGGCTGGTATAGTGTGGGACCGAGCAGTGTGGGCTGGTATAGTGTGGGACCGTGCAGTGTGGGCTGGTGTCATTGCATTCCGGCTATTTTTTCCCATCTAATTCCTGTTGTTCTGACTGAAAATACTACTACTATTATTAATATTTCGTCACGATGTTTAGTACCATCACTCCTACTGCTTCTATTACAGACAGTAAATATAAAGTGTCTATTTTTGCCAAACACTTTTGTCCAGGCTGTCCACCTTCGCTCATTTTCGTCCACTCCATGGTCTCTTCATCCTCATCGTCATTACAGTTTGTCTTCCTTCTTTTCCTCCTTTTGGGGTATTTATGAGCCGTGTGTCTCATGCAGCAGTTCCGTCGGCTCCTCCTTCACCTCCGGCAGGCAGCCTGCAGGCCTCTTGCTGTCTGTTGTAAACACCACCACAATTACGCTTTAAGATATAGCCACGGAAAGTTAATTTATTTGCAAAAATATGACAATTGAAGCGTAATCTTGTCATCGAGAGTGACTATTTGGACCAAGGAATGAAGAGACATTAGCAGCGGGCAGTTTGCTTCATCACACGAGGCAGTTATTCCTATCTCACTAATATACATCAATGTTACAAGGTTCATGTTTACGTCAGACTTGTGGGTGAAAATATACACATAAACTGAATTAAATATATGGCAAAGTCCAATCGTTATTATACGTAAGAATTTGATATCGAACAATAATCATTTATTTAAATAATGAATGCACATTGAAACATAAATTAAGTGCATTGTTCTGAAGGACATTTGAAGAGTGTAAGTGACCCACATACCGAGGAGAGATGCTTGTGACCCACCCACCTGGTGGAGTCGTAGTGGTGAAGACCAAAATGGCGTTCCTCTTTCAGTGATCCACAACTCCTGGGGTCATGGATGGTGTCTTTGATGTGTGCCTTTGCTTCTCCTGTTTTCTCTTTCACCTCCCCGTTCTTTTTATCTTTTGACTTTGGACGATAAACTGGAGGACTGGGGTTTCTTTCTGGCAACTTGGGAGAGTCCCTGAAATTTGTAACGAATAGTATCAGTATTGTAATCTGTAATCTGTCAATTTTCCTTACTTTAGAGCATGTAAAGAGACAGGGTTTAGTCCTGCGATGCCTACCATACGTAACTCGCCCCACAAACTCTGCCATTGTCACATGAATCAGGGAGTTCCCACAACCCACCAAGAGCTTCCTCCCTGATAATAACACCAGCTTTAAAGGTAACCTACCCGTAGTAGTCGTTGAAAGGGAGGAGCGCTGCCTGCTCTACAGTCCAGAGTCCCTGAAGAAGATCAACGCGCTCCAGCTGGTGCGGGTCAAGGGGCATGTCTTGGACTCCTGGCAGGACGACCACAGGAAGCTCGTAGTGCCGGGCATCTTCAACCCCATCCTGTGATATTATGAAAGTGTATCCGTAGGGTACTGGACGGGAAGAGGGGTATTCCATGACTGTACCGCCGAATAAAATCTGTATCAGGACTACCGACTACAGACTGTAATATTGGATTGGATGTAAACACAATTTCCCAGCAGGGCCAGACATTTGGGCACGTTTCCGTGTACCCGATACTTCTGTTCAGCCATCAGTAAACAGGTGCCAGGGAGCTAGTAGACTGTTGTGGATTGCTTCCTAATAAGTAGCCAGTCTTCAGCTAGAGACCTCGACAAGTCTTTCAGAATTCCTGCTCCTAATAACGGGAGGCTACAAGGGATGTGTTGTGACTGCTCTACAGGATTAGACATTATTCAGCCTCTCGAATACTTACTTATTTACTTTGTGTGGGATTAACTATTTCAAATCTATTGTGGAAAGGTGTGAAAGGCATTCCAGAACTATTGATGTATGATCTATCATCTATGAATGTTGTATGGTGAATTCAGAGTACCGCTCAAGGTCTGCCTGGAAGATAAGAAAGTTCAGAGCTCCCTCACGACCCGAAATAGAAGACGAGGAAAATGAAGTCATTTAGGAGACTCACGAGACCAAAAGCCCTCTTCTTAACATACAGCAACAGGCTGATATAAATGGTCCGAGCTTTCCTTCAGTACCTGTCTGAAAGGCACGAAGCCCAGAGTCCTCCTCATGACCTACCTGAAAGACACGGACTGTCCAGGGGCCGTGTTCCATGACACCGCAAGAGATGGGGAAGAAGGACGCCATCTCAACCATTTCCCCGTCTCCATTGAGGAAGATGTGGTCCTTGTCCCAGTACTCTGTTTTGTGCTCCTCGCACCTGTAAAATAAGGTATTTTTTAATCTCTGTCTCTGTCTCTGTCTGTCTCTCTCTCTCTCTCTCTCTCTCTCTCTCTCTCTCTCTCTCTCTCTTTCTTTCTTTCTCTCACCTCACGTTCCCTCTAGGATCGACTAGCTGCACAATCACGTCCAGTGGATCTCCCGTCACTCCGGTAATATTCAGATTGCGGAATTCCATAGGCGTGCCCGTGGGTCTGGTCCTCTTGCGGCAGTCTGGGGTGAGGCTGCGCTCCCCGGCGTGGAACCACAGCTCCACGAACACCGTGTCCACTCCTGGCATCGCGAACGGCAATGGCAGATTGATAGAGAGCGCTGACTTGGGTTCATCTGATGACGTGCTGGATAAATGGTAAGAGATGTAGTGACAGTTGTGGCGTCGGTGCTGGCTGAAGTTGTGGTGTTATTATTAGTTGTGGTGATGCTGGTTGTGTTGATGTTCGCAACCATAATAACTTGGTTAACAGGTTGTGTGTCTATGAGACACAATGATAATTAGCCTATGTACATTATCTTCTGTCCTTCATAGACAGGATTTGGGATGTTTTCATTCATATAATAACAATAGTAATAATACAGATGATGATAATGATAATAATAATAATTATATTTATTTAGGCAGGAGTACATACGTAAACACGGTACAGGAACAGTGGAGGAATCATGAGTAAGACAAGTACAGTGCCTAAAGCCATTAATACGCAGAGCGTTTCCCTGCATAACTTAAAAAATTAAGAAACAATATACTATAGGCATAATGGGGTAATTGTTAAAACTGTATGAGACAATAAAATAACAATAATAATAAAAATATAATAATAATAATTATAAATTTACCTTTAAGTTTATAATGTAATGTGTATGAGTATATTATACTATGAGTATATATTGTAATGTGTATATTACAATGTAATATGTATGAGCTGATATCGTGAACTAGAATTAAAAAACGATTGCTAATCATCACACGATATTTGGAGAGTGGTGAAGAGAGGTGATGGTGACTGACCTTGGGGTAGCGGCGAGGTCCTGGTGGTAGGTGGTGTACCTGAGGGCCCTCAGGTGCCCGTCAGGGTAGCAGTCGCACGCCGCCCTTGGGGCCACCCCTGCTCGAGCCCCGCCAACCACTCTCCCCTCCACCTCCTCCACCTGCAGGAGGCGGGGCACCATACATGAATGGGGGGGGGTGAGATAAGTGTGGGGGTAAGGTGAGTGTGGGGGGTGAGGTGAGTGTGGGGTGAGAGGAGTGTGGGGTTCAACGTTCAATGGAGACAGGAAAATAATGCTTACTATTTTTTAGAACTTTTCCTCCTACCTGGCTTAGAGGGGAGGAGGGAGGCAGGAGGGAAGCAGGGTGACGCTGAGGTAGGGAAGCAAGGGGTGAGGGGAGGGAGGGAAGCAGGGGTAAAGGGAAAGGGATGGGGTGAGGGGAGGGAAGCAGGGGTAAAGGGAAAGGGATGGGGTGAGGGGAGGGAAGCAGGGGTAAAGGGAAAGGGATGGGGTGAGGGGAGGGAAGCAGAGGTGAAGGGAAAGGCATAGGGTGAGGGGAGGGGGGATGGAAGCAGGGGTGAAGGGATGGGGTGAGGGGAGAGGGGAGGGAAGCAGGGGTGAAGGGAAAGGGATGGGGTGAGGGGGAGGGGGAAAGAAGCAGGGGTGAGAGGAAAGGGATAAGGGTGAGAGAAGGGGGGCAAGGAAACAGGGGAAAAGAGGGAGGGAAACATGTGGGGAGGGGGAGGAGGGAGGGAAACATGTGGGGAGGGGGAGGAGGGAGGTAAGCAGGGTGTGAGTGGAAAGGAAGGGGAGGACGGAATGGGAAGGGAACTATCAGGGGAAAGCGCCAAGCCATTACGATCATATAGCACTGGGAAGGGGTCAGGATAAGGATTTGGGATGGGACGGGTGAAGGAATGGTGCCAACCACTTGTGGACGGTTGGGGATTGAACGCCGACCTGCATGAAGCGAGACCGTCGCTCTACCGTCCAGCCCAAGTCGTTGGTCACCACTAGGAAGGAGAGATGCAGGGGGTGAGGGGAGGAGGAGATGGTAAGAACAGGGTGAGGGGAGGAAAGAAGGGGAAAGAGAGGGGATTTTAGTTTCATTATCACTATTATTATTATTACCATTTTTAACACTTGATATTACCATTAGTGTCCCTATTATCACCATTGTCGTCACTACCACCATTATCGTCACTACCACCATTATCGTCACTACCACCATTATCGTCATTATTATCGTCACTACCACCATTATCGTCACTACTACTATCATTGTCACTATTATCGCCATTATTGTCACTATCACTGCCATTATCGTCACTATCATCGCCATTATCGTCACTATAACCACCATTATCGTCACTATAACCACCATTATCGTCAGTATCACCACCATTATCGTCACTTTCACCAGCATTATCGTCACTATTATCACCATTATCACCGCCATTATCGTCACTATTACCTCCATTATTGTCACTATCACCGTCATTATCGTCTTTATCATCATTATCATCACCATTATCGTCATTATCATCACCATTATTGTCACTATCACCGCCATTATCGTCACTATCACCGCCATTATCGTCACTATCTTCGCCATTATTGTCACTATCACCGTCATTATCGTCACTATCACCGTCATTATCGTCACTATCACCGTCATTATCGCCACTATCATCACCATTATTGTCACTATCACCACCATTATCGTCACTATCACCACCATTATCGTTACTATCACCGTCATTATCGTCACTATCACCGCCATTATCATCAACATTATCACCATTATCGTCACTATCACCGCCATTATTGTCACCATCACCGCCATTATCGTCACTATCACCGCCATTACTGTCACTATCACTGCCATTATTGTCATTATCACCACCATTATCACTATCACCGTTATTATCGTAACTATCACCGCCATTATCGTCACTATCACCGCCATTATCGTCACTATCACCACCATTATCGTCACTATCACCGCTATTATCGTAACTATCACCATTATCGTCACTATCACCACCAATATCGTCACTATCACCGCTATTATCGTCACTATCACCACCATTATCGTCACTATCATCGCCATTATCGTCACTATCACCGCCATTATCGTCACTATCACCACCATTATCGTCACTATCACCACCATTATCGTCACTATCACCATTATCGTCACTATCACCACCATTATCGTCACTATCACCACCATTATCGTTACTATCACTGCCATTATCGTTACTATCACTGCCATTATCGTCACTATCACCGTCATTATCGTCACTATCACCGCCATTATTGTCACTATCACCACCAATATCGTCACTATCATCGCCATTATCGTCACTATCACCACCAATATCGTCACTATCACCGCCATTATCATCACTATTACCACCATTATCGTCACTATCACCGCCATTATCGTCACTATCACCACCATTATCACTATCACCGCCATTATCATCACTATCACCGCCATTATAATCACTATCACCGCCATTATCATCACTATCACCACCAATATCGTCACTATCACCGCCATTATCATCATTATCACCATTATCTTCATAATCACCACCATTATCTTCACTATCACCACCATTATCGTCACTATCACCGCCATTATCGTCACTATCATCGCTATTATCGTCACTATCACCGCCATTATCGTCACTATCACCGCCATTATCATCACTATCGCCACCATTATCGTCACTATCACCGTCATTATCGTCACTATCACCACCAATATCGTCACTATCACCGCTATTATCGTCACTATCACCACCATTGTCGTCACTATCACCACCATTTTCGTCACTATCACCACCATTTTCGTCACTATCACCACCATTATCGTTACTATCACCGCCATTATCGTCACTATTACCGCCATTATCGTCACTATCATCGCCATTATCGCCACTATCAACACCATTATCGTCACTATCACCGCCATTATCGTCACTATCACCACTATCACCGCCAATATCGTCACTATCACAGCCATTATCGTCACTATCACCACCATTATTGTCACTATCAGCACCATTATCGTCACTATCAGCACCATTATCGTCACTATCAACACCATTATCGTTACTATCACCGCCATTATCGTCACTATCACCGCCATTATCGTCACTATCACCGCCATTATCGTCACTATCAGCACCATTATCGTCACTATCACCACCATGAGCAGCATGACGAGACTCACAAGGGAAAAGTCTACCCAGTAGAAGAACTCCTGCGTACTCTTGAAGGACCTCTCGAAGGGCAGAGAACAGCACGGGTTGGTCAGGTGGAGACGGGGCATCACCTGCAGGTGGCGTAGGTGGCACAGGTGGAGCACAAGGTGGCGTAGGTGGCACAGGTGGAGCACAAGGTGGCGTAGGTGGCACAGGTGGAGCACAAGGTGGCACAGGTGGAGCACAAGGTGGCGTAGGTGGCACAGGTGGAGCACAAGGTGGCGTAGGTGGCACAGGTGGAGCACAAGGTGGCGTAGGTGGCACAGGTGGAGCACAAGGTGGCGTAGGTGGCACAGGTGGAGCACAAGGTGGCGTAGGTGGCACAAGTGGAGCACAAGGTGGCGTAGGTGGCACAGGTGGAGCACAAGGTGGCGTAGGTGGCACAGGTGGAGCACAAGGTGGCGTAGGTGGCACAGGTGGAGCACAAGGTGGCGTAGGTGGCACAGGTGGAGCACAAGGTGGCGTAGGTGGCACAGGTGGAGCACAAGGTGGCGTAGGTGGCACAAGTGGAGCACAAGGTGGCGTAGGTGGCACAGGTGGAGCACAAGGTGGCGTAGGTGGCACAGGTGGAGCACAAGGTGGCGTAGGTGGCACAAGTGGAGCACAAGGTGGCGTAGGTGGCACAAGTGGAGCACAAGGTGGCGTAGGTGGAGCAGAAGTATGGGGTGAAAGAGATGGCATTAGATGCATATTTTATATAATTTATGAATATGCGTGAATTTGCATATAATACTAGTTGCGTGCCCCAGATCTTACTCTTGTACCAAACTTCCCCTAGTAATCCAATATTCAAATGTGACATCACCTTCCCGCACACACAAGGACATTATTTAAAACTTTAACTGAGTAAAGGATCTAAATCAGACGAGATATCACCCTGGATCTTGGGAAAATGTACTGACGTACTAATTTATCCTTTCTGGGCAGTCTACAGGAACTCACTAAGGGAAGGAAGGTGAGAGGTCGCAGTGCAAAAGAGACAAGTTTTAATAATAAGTTCAGGGTGCAAAATACTAGAGGATCATGTGTAAACCATCTTGAGAGTTAAAAATATTTAAACTCTAAAGCAGTTAAAATTCAGATCTTGAAATAACATATAAGCTTTATTCTGTTATAACAGGCAAAGAAATCATTAAAAATTAGATGGATGTACAAAAGTAAGATGGACAAGGACCAAGGTAAGACGAACAATGGACCAAGGCATGACTACAATCTGTCAATGAAAGTAGGAAAATTCAGATAGTTGGTGACTTTCAAGTTAGCTACATGGTCCATACTGCTCGTAGCAAGAATTTAAAACCAGAAGGAAGGTAAGATTGGGCTGGGTGATGCAGGTGGTTCACACTATTGAGTCGTATTGTGAAACAAAGCTTACCCGGAGCCCCAGCACAGCCCCGGGGGTGAGGCTGAGGTGGGCTAGATGAGGATGGGCAGCCACCTGCTGCTGTAGAAGGGGGAAGGCGAGGTGGGTCAGCTGCTGCAGGAGGGCCGCCGGCAGGTGTCTCTTCAGATTCTGGTAGTAATTGGTCCTCACATGTTCCGCTATCTGCGACAGGGCGTTGCAAGTCTTTCAGTGATGGGGGAGTAGGAGAGGGTGGGGGTCTAAGCCGGTAACGAAGTATATGGGCGAAGGAGAGAACGGACTCTGTTTGAGGAAAGTGGGAAGGGGTTGTGTTTGAGGACGGAGGAGGAGGAGTTGTCTTGGGAGGCGTAGTTGTGTTTTAGAAAGGGGAAAGAAGAATGATATAGGTGTGGGGAGGAATCGATGCAAATCACTATATTTGAGGATTCACTCTGCATCCTGAATTAGCTATGGTAAATGCTGACCTTTTTCCTGGTTGAGTGGTTGATGTCGTGGGTGTAGAACTTCCTGGCCAAGAAATACCTGTGTGATGCCTCCAACATTTCCTTCAAGTTCTCGTCTTCGATCGGTCCCGGGCCCTGGTGTAAGATACGCACAGGCTTTCACCTTCAAGTTTGACTTTACGATAAATACAAATTCTACATATCTAAATACATTCATTCTTATTTTTGGGAAAATGAAGTATTTATTCGTATAGGCAGACGAAGACCCACCTGGCCACAGAAGTCGGCGTCTTCCATGTGACGACAGAGAAAGATGGTGTTGAGGCCCTCAAACCGCCTCAACCAGTGGAACCCCAAAGGAAGGATCCGATTCCTATGAAAGATATATGGGTAGTGGAGGACTGTCTTCAGGGGCTGGGCGGAATATGGTCACAGGTTGAAGGAACTATGTACTTGGGCACAATCACTTCACGTCCGTGGTCATACGATTCACGGACATTCACGTACTTACTTATATGGGGAGTTCATAGCGACGGTGGGGAAGTAGGACTCGTCGGGGACTATGGAGGTCTGCAGGTGGAAGTGCCAGCGGTTCAGACGACTATTCCGACGGCTCCAGGTTACTGAGTAGTCCACCAGGTCACGACTCATCACCGCCCACTGTGATCTGGGGCACGTCAACGATCAGGTCATATGAGGAATAAGGTCGTGTCAAGGAAAGAATGGGGGCCAAGTTACGTATAGAGTTACTACCATACGGACAAGAAGTCATATCAAGTAGGGAGAGAGGCAAAGTCATAAGGGAAGCGTCATATGACATGTAGAGTCAGGAGGAGAGAGGCAGAGAGATGAGACATGATGTACAGGTGAAGGGGGCCTGTAGCCTGTGAGAGTTGCAATGGTAATGGACAACATCACACACAAAGAGAACATACTTATAACGAAACCGTGTTTATAATACTATTAAATAACATATACACACGAAAGCCATTTAACGATGGCTGATTTGTCACGATTGCTTTGTCAATGAATGTAACCAAAAACAGAGTAGTGCTCCATCATCTGTTTAAAACCAGGTGAGTGTTCGGGAATCGCCAAGTGTGACTCATGACCATTTTTAACCTACCCTGTATGGATGGGTATCTCTTCTGGGTATGGCTGACCTCCCGCCCTCGTCACATTGTAGACGTAACCTTCACACCCGTGCCTGTTGACGTCCAAGCTCTTAAGGGCTCAACCAGAAGACGTTAATTAAAACTCATTGGCGATAAGTTACCGATATTGCAAACAAACAATAAATAGCAATTACGGGGAAAAAATGGGTTAAGCCGCCATGCTGTCTCTGACAAATTACCAATAATACATTACTGTGCTCTATTATTAAAATATTCTACACAAACTTCTCCACCACCCACAAAACGGAAATCACACACACACACACACACACACACACACACACACACACAGTCTAGTGCTACTAGACTAGTCCCAGAACTAAGAGGCATGAGTTATGAGGAAAGGCTGCGGGAAATGCACCTTACAACACTGGAAGACAGAAGAGTAAGGGGGGACATGATCACAACCTACAAAATCCTCAGGGGAATCGACCGGGTAAACAAGGATGAACTATTCAACACTGGAGGGACGCGAACAAGGGGACACAGGTGGAAGCTGAGCACCCAAATGAGCCACAGAGACATTAGAAAGAACTTTTTCAGTGTCAGCGTAGTTAGTAAATGGAATGCACTAGGAAGTGATGTGGTGGAGGCTGACTCCATACACAGTTTCAAATGTAGATATGACAGAGCCCAGTAGGCTCAGGAATCTGTACATCAGTTCATTGACGGTTGAGAGGCGGGACCAAAGAGCCAGAGCTCAACCCCCGCAAACACAACTAGGTGAGTACACACACACACATATACACACATATATACGACGACATAAAAATAATAGCGTCTTGGAATAATATCAGAAACAATAGAGAGAAGAGGACGTACAAGAACCAAGTAGTTAAGAAAAACCAACTACAGAGGCTGCATGTGAACCCCTACATCCGGAGACCCACCACACATCCAACACCAGCCCCTGGTCGGCGTTCATGTCTTTGTTCCTCTGACCGAACACTGGGAGGAAGCTGTAGCCTCTGTAGGGCGCCAGGGTGGCACTCAAGTCGTCCACGTCCCTGAGTGGCAACTCCGAGCCGCTCATCTTCACCGCGAAGTCCCAGACGCCCATTCGGAGCAGCTCCTCGAAGGCCTCCAGCTCGGCGCGCACGATGTTGAAGGACCCCCACGTCGCCCCGAACGATCTCGACTCCGGCACAATTCTACAGGGAGTGTTGCATGTAAATAATTATCACAAGAACGTACCGAACAAGGAGGATTATAATATCATGTAGCAGGCCTTCCTAGCTGGGTACAGTGATCCCGGATATCTAGCGCTAATATCCCGTATTTGCCGGCGGGATATACACACGCAGGCTTGCGTGTGTATAAACACATGTGTAATTCTTATTGTGTGTAACTCTTATTGTGTTTGCGTGTATATAAACACGCAGGTTTTTCGTCCATGAAACAAATATATATGATACTGACGCGCACAAACTCATGCTCTACTCTACAGAACCATTTGAACATTAGTCTGCTTTCTTAACATTAAGTTATATAGTCGTAGGGGCTTAGTGCTTTACCTTACCTCAATAAATAAATCATTCGTTTTCTTTGGGGACAAGAAGCCTGTGCATATATGCAATTTAGGCTTGTATCGTGGTCTCCCAAGGTCGAACCTAACCCCAAGATGCAACCCCACAATAACTGCCTACCTCCTGGGTACCTATTTACTTTTTGCTGAACTGAGTCATTAGATGACAGGAAACTGACCCAACCATTTTTCTCCAGTCCGGGAAACAAATCTGCATAGATCTCAGATTGTGAGTCGAGAACGAAGTCAACTGTACTTCGAAAGGATAAAACTTACTAAAATAGTTTTACACAATATAAGCCAACAAGTATGGTATAAGGACTACGGAGACGTCTTAGTGAAGTGAGATAGATATACACGACTGCAAGACTCCCACCACGTGTGTGTCTATATGACAGAATACCGAAGAGGGTGAGGCTGTAGGTGAGAAAAGGCTCACACTGAAATTGAAATTGAAATAAATTTATTGAGGTAAAATACACACAAAGGGATGAGGTAGCTCAAGCTATTCTCACCCCGTTCAGTACATCGTGTTAATACATACATAGACACACATCACAAGCAATAAACGTATTACCGAACATTCTGAGAGATAAACATATACATTTCCTCCTTTACACAAGTAGGTTCATGAACTACTTACCTCACATTGGTGGCGGTGGGCATGAGGTTATGGAGGAGAGCGGTGAGAGTGGCGCGCACCGCTGCCTGGCGCCGGTCCACGTGGAAGACGTAGTAGTGGTGCGGACGGTACAACATGCTCAGCAGCTGTACCTGTCCTCGTCATGTGCACCTTAGTTACTCCTCTACTAGTTAAATTATGGCTCCACTCTTTCTCTATATTGGTGAAAGTTTCGTGTGGAAACATTTGTCTTCGTGTTTGTATTATTAAGTTGTAAATTACGTGACTGTTGATAATTGGTAACTATTGGTAACTTCCATTTATCAACTATTCACACATTCAAGCTCTTGCACGTAAAAAACACTTGGAAAATAGTTAATTTCTGAAAATTGGACTTTCTGTCATGAATAAGATTATTTAGTTTAAAAAAAAAAAAAAAAGAGTCGTTTTGATGCATTGCGCGTGTCATATTTAACACTTGTCAGAGATAGAGTAAACAGAATTTTCCTCCCATTTACAGTATCGTCACGGAAAACTTCTCGACGATTCCATAAAATGGGAAAGTACTTGGAACAAATTTAATTTGTTTAGTAGCCTTAAGCATTGTGATACTGAATTAAATAGTTATTTCAGTGTATGATATATATATATATATATATATATATATATATATATATATATATATATATATATATATATATATATATATATATATATATATATATATATTGTACATTCATGCTACAGTATGGATCTTAAGCTACTTTTTGGCGAACATAAAATTGACTCGCGAGAAGGCGTCCAACAGGGTGACCCCCTCGCTCCTCTCCTTTTCTGCTTAGTCATCAAACAAGTCACAGAGGTCCTGTCCAGCGAGCTTAACATCTGGTTCTTGGATGATGGTACCCTAGCTGGTTCCCAAGACTCCCTCCTGGAGGACATCAGAAAAATCCAGGAGCAAGGTGCAGTTTTAGGCCTCACCCTGAACCCTTCTAAATGTGAAATAATATGTTCCAACCAGGGCATCGTAGAGAGAATAGAGGGTCTTCTGCCAAATATCCATAAAACTAAACCTGAAGACAGCACACTCCTAGGAGCTCCCCTGGGGTTGAAAGCCATCGATGAGGTCCTTGATAAGAAAATCGCCGACCTTAAGATAATGGATGGGAGGATTGAGGATATTGATGCTCATGATGCACTCTACCTCATCACCAGATGTCTGTCCCTCCCCAGGTTAACCTACTTTCTGAGGTGTTCACCATCTTACAGTAGCCAAAAACTAAGTGAGTATGACCGGTTACTGAAATCAATGCTAGAAAAAGCCCTTAACCTCTCTCTCGATGACCTACAGTGGAAACAAGCCTCTCTTCCCGTAAGACTTGGGGGCCTCGGAGTTCGAACAGCAACGCAAATTGCTGTTCCAGCCTTCCTGTCCTCCTTATCAGCATCCGACGACCTTGTGAAGGAAATTCTACCTGCCCACTTACATCAGCTGGCAGGTGTACATGATCCCAATTTTACACGCTGTGCCACAGAGTGGGCCTCTCGTGCAGGCCAATCACCTCAACCACCATCCCCAAAATCCCACAAGCAATCCAGCTGGGATGGTCCCATTGTAGACCAAGTTGCTGCAGAGTGCCTGGGTGCTGCAACAACACAACACGACATTGCTCGCCTCACAGCAGTAGCAGCACCACATGCAGGGGATTTCCTGTTAGCAACCCCAATGTCGGCAACTGGCACGCGTCTCACACCACACGCCCTCCGTATTGCTGTGGCCCTCCGCCTTGCTGCCCCAATCCACACCAGATATAGGTGTATTTGCGGCGAGGTGGTGGCTGACAGGTACGGTCACCATGGCCTACTCTGCCAAAGCACAGGGGGATGGCACTCGAGGCACAGTGAAGTTAACGACATCATCAAGAGGAGCCTCACCACAGCTGGATGCCCAGCTGAAAGAGAGCCCCGTTACCTAACGCCCCGTAACTCTGATGCTCTTATTGGTCGCCCGGATGGTATCACAGTGAACCCCTGGAAGAATGGCAAGCAGTTGGTATGGGACTACACGTGCGTATCAACCCTGGCTAACACCTACATTAACCTCAGTGTTGCACAACCAGGTGGCGCTGCCACCCACAGGGAAGCAGCCAAATCCCGTAAGTATAGAGAACTGGATCACCACTACAATTTTGTCCCCATTGCTTCTGAGACGCTCGGCGCCTGGGGTAAAAGTGCTACTAGTTTTTTGAAGGAACTGGGTTCTAGGCTCATTGAAACAACAGGGGACCCGAGAGCTGCAAGCTTTCTTTTCCAGCGCCTCAGTGTGGCGATACAGAGGGGAAATGCGCACTGCATCCAGGGTTCCTGCCCGCCATCTGAGGAGCTGGAGGAACTCGACAACCTATGACAACCATCTTTGTAACCCATATGTAACTCCTTTTTTGTAACAAAGTTCAAATAAAGTAAATATATATGTGTACATACAAAAGAATGGGGGTGGTAGGAGAAGATAATATTAGTGTTCAGTGAGAAACCACAAGGTCTCCTCTGAATACTTTTTATTTTCTTCTCCGAGGCTATGGGTCCCCACATTGGCACCAGAGGTGGTACCCATATATATATATATATATTATGAATATATATATATATATATATATATATATATATATATATATATATATATATATATATATATATTATGAATACACTTCTATTCAATACCCATTGTTTCGTGTTCTGTCTTGTGTTGATGAAATTAATACCCTATTAATGCCACCTCTTGTTCTGTCTTGTGTTGATGAAATTAATACCCTATTAATACCACCTCTTGTTCTGTCTTGTGTTGATGAAATTAATACCCTATTAATGCCACCTCACCCCATCCACCTCACTCAAATGTAGATATAAAATCGGAGATGCGTAAGTTCTATTCAGTTATGTATTTGTAAACTAAAGTCTTTGAAAATGTAATAAGTTTTACGAAACGCGCTCGTGTCGCGTCAGACTAGAAATAAAAATGAATTTTGGAGAATTGATTTTTGATTTACCTCCAACAGTGAAAAGAAATGTACGAAAGATTGAGAAAATTCGTGTTAGAATTATTAATCTTACTTTTTCGGTCATATTTAATAATATATGTCTACAAGAAAGACTGCTACCAAAATATACTAATATATATATATATATATATATATATATATATATATATATATATATATATATATATATATATATATATATATATATATATATATATATATATATATATATATATATATATATATATATTATATATATATATATATAGAACTTATATATATATATATATATATATATATATATATATATATATATATATATATATATTACACAAGAGTTATTGTAAAGCCACTAGCACGCATAGTGTTTCGGGCAGGTCCTTATTCCTAAAAAATATAAGTTTGTGTGCCTCGTTGGGTACGTGTGCTATAGGTTTACCACCCCTCATCTACATACATGTACTGCCTAGATGGGGTACCCTTGTGGTGCCCGGTCGACCAAACTGTATGAAATCTACATCAAAGATTTCGTACACTCGAAAGTATGCTGTCACAGACGGGTGCCGAGCCCTTGTAGTATCTTGGGTCGCGGTGCTTGCCCGGGAAGGACGTGGCGGTCCTTTCCGGGCATCACCTTGTGCGACGGACAAGAGAGATCCTACACGATATTTCACCATGCAGTGCCTCCACCTACATTTGTCTCAGACGTGTACTGTACCAGGGCTGCGGCCTCCACCTACACCTGACATCTGTCTCTATATCAGACGTGTACTGTACCAGGGCTGCGGCCTCCACCTACACCTGACTCTATATCAGACGTGTACTGTACCAGGGCTGCGGCCTCCACCTACACCTGACATCTGTCTCTATATCAGACGTGTACTGTACCAGGGCTGCGGCCTCCACCTACACCTGACTCTATATCAGACGTGTACTGTACCAGGGCTGCGGCCTCCACCTACACCTGACTCTATATCAGACGTGTACTGTACCAGGGCTGCGGCCTCCACCTACACCTGACATCTGTCTCTATATCAGACGTGTACTGTACCAGGGCTGCGGCCTCCACCTACACCTGACACTATATCAGACGTGTACTGTACCAGGGCTGCGGCCTCCACCTACACCTGACATCTGTCTCTATATCAGACGTGTACTGTACCAGGGCTGCGGCCTCCACCTACACCTGACATCTGTCTCTACATCAGACGTGTACTGTACCAGGGCTGCGGCCTCCACCTACACCTGACATCTGTCTCTACATCAGACGTGTACTGTACCAGGGCTGCGGCCTCCACCTACACCTGACATCTGTCTCTACATCAGACGTGTACTGTACCAGGGCTGCGGCCTCCACCTACACCTGACATCTGTCTCTACATCAGACGTGTACTGTACCAGGGCTGCGGGGTCCTTGTGAGCCAGTATCAGAAAGCCGATCCTTGCTGGTATGAGGGCTTTGTGGGGGTCTCTCCTCAGGTCCTGGTAGCCCGCCAGGTCCGGTCGGGTGCCTGTCTGCGGGAACGAGTTGAAGACCAGACGAAGATGCTCCGGCTCCACCTCACTCACCTTGGCCAGTAAGAGGAATCAATGGTCGGGAACGATTATACAAAATAATATATGACTTAAAAAGTAAACGAATGGATGAATTGTCAAATGGAGTCACAATAATGATGCAAATTATAGCGTTAATTTACCTCTAAAGAAAGTTTTCAAATCGTTACAAATTTAAGAATAATGTTTATGCCCATCTATATAATTGGTGACCATGACGTGGTCAACAAAGGCTCCCGGTGGTATAGTAGTTGGTGACCATCATGGCTCAGTGGGTAGTGCGTGTATCCGTAGATTCCAGAGTTGTGGGTTTAATTTCACACATTGTCATAATATTTTCTCATATATACATAGCTCTTTCCTCCCCTCAGAGCGCCTCGCAAGCCAGGACGTGCGAGATTCAAGCACCTCCTCCCCCTCCTCTATTCGCTGTGACCTCATCTTTGTGCTGCTTGGCTCATGTTGAGACACATAGCGGGTTAGAAATAGCCTAAGTTACTCTATCCCTTTGAGATGTATTTCTTTCTTGTCTCAGTAAACATACTTGAACATGAAGAGACACATGTACACCCCCACCCTCCCCCTCCCTCACACACTCACATACTGACCCAATACCTGGAAAGAAATTACATAATAACGGACAAGTGTGATTTCCAACGGGAAGATCTTATGTAACAAATCTCTTCAATGTATACGATAGAGCAACAGCGGGATGGGCAGACTATATCCGCTTGACTTAAAAACAAAAGGCCTTTGACGGAATCCTACACAAAGAGGTTGTTCCAGAAGTTAGACCACACAGGAAGGATGACAAGCAGACTACTAACATGAAAGAAAATTGTTTCGAATTGAAAGACAAATGAGAGCAGTATTCAGAAGCATTATGTCAGACTGGAGTGAATTATCAGGAGAAAGCGCCAAGCCATTACGACTATATAGCACTGGGAAGGGATCAGGATAAGGGTTTGGGATGGGACGAGGAATGGTGCCCAACCACTTGGACGGTCGGGGATATGTCAGACTGGAGAAATGTCACTAGCGGAGTACCGCAAGGTGTGGTTCTAGTACCAGTAATGTTTATTGTCTATATAATCAATCTACCAGAGCTAATTCAGAGATAGTGGATTTGTTTGCAGATTGTACTAAGTTATCAGGGAGTATAAAAAGACTTAGATGGGTGCCACGCTTATATGGAATGTCGAATAAAGGAAAATATATCGGGCATAAACTACAAATTATGTGAAAAGATATTAAGGAACGCTGACACGGAAAGAGCTCTCGGGGAGGTTCTTGGACAGTAAACTGTCACCAGAGGACCACTTCACAGACACTGTGAGAGGAGACGACGCTGGCATTGTAAACTTCGACGTCGCTTTTAAATGCACTGATGGGAATTACTAAAATAAATTATTATCGACATTCGTGAGACCGAAACTGATGTATGTAGCAGCTGTATGGTGTCCATATCTAAAGAAAAACCACATTAATAAAATATAAAGGTTGGAAAGACAGCAACCAAAATGGCCTCCATAGCTAAAGAAGAAAAGATATGAGGGAAAACTTAAGGCCTGAAACATGAAAACGCTGGTAGATAAGAGGGAAAAGGGAGATACGTCTATGGTGGAACCTTAACATACGATACCTCTATGGTGGAACCTTAACATACGATACCTCTATGGTGGAACCTTAACATACGATACCTCTATGGTGGAACCTTAACATACGATACCTCTATGGTGGAACCTTAACATACGATACCTCTATGGTGGAACCTTAACATACGATACCTCTATGGTGGAACCTTAACATACGATACCTCTATGGTGGAACCTTAACATACGATACCTCTATGGTGGAACCTTAACATACGATACCTCTATGGTGGAACCTTAACATACGATACCTCTATGGTGGAACCTTAACATACGATACCTCTGTGGTGGAACCTAAGAGCATAATCAGGACGGCAATCAATTAAAAAAATTACCACTCATGGATGTTAACGAACAAACTCACACTACACACAAAAGACCTATATATTTGGAAAGAAAGCATCGTACCAAATACGCCCTCAGACAGACACTGTCAACATTGACAGTAAAAGTACATAGGCTTATCCAGAGAGGGAATGGCCCCTGCATCATGAGATTTCAGTTTTATAACTGGTATTTTGTTTATGGGAGGAAGGTGAAAATGTTCTTCGTGCTGGTCACACAGCAGGAGACATCAATGCCAACTAACAAGTAATCCAACACACCGTGCCTTCAGCTTTTCAAAACAGCGATAATAATAATTACAATGCAAATAATTTATATATATATATATATATATATATATATATATATATATATATATATATATATATATATATATAAAGTGTCCTCACCTGTCCAGGCTCGAGGACGAAGGGCGGAAGACAGAGACCTTTGTTGTGGTAGAGGAAGGAACAGTAGATCTGTCGTATCTCTTCCCTACACTCCCTCGACGGTACTCTGGGGACGGGGGGTAAAGTCTTGGTCAGTATTGGGCAGGGAATGTACCGAGGAGCAGGAGGCAGGAGCATACTCACCTAATTATGCTTGCATGAATTAGGTTTTGACGGTTTGGTCCCGCCTCTCAACTTTCAATCGTGCAATTTCCAGAGCCTATTGGGCTCTATCACATCTACATATGAAATTGTGTATGGAGTCTGCCCCCACCACCTTACTTCCTAGTACCTTCCATTTTTTCACAACTCTGACATTGAAAATATTCATTCCAATAAGTAATTATGAAAGGAACGCACCAAACCAGGGAGACTATGTAGCACTGTATTCATTCAAGTGTCTCAGTGGCTCAATTGAGTAACCCACTTGTCCAATTATTTATTCTTATGGACCGGTAAGTCTAAACACTCTGTAATTATCTACCCCCTGTCTATTTCCCTGATAATTATGACAGTGGTCAGCACGTCTCCCCCAGCTCATCTGTCTTCTAACGACGTGAAGTTTAATTATTGCTGCTATTCCTTGTAACTCATACCTCTCAGGTCTGGAACTAGTCTGGAAGCATACCTCTGGACATTCTAAACTGCATTTTATGTCTGATTTGATGATAATATAAGAATAAGGGGAAAATACAGAGGAACTACTGGCTCATGCGGGTAGCTTCCGTATTCAACCAAACTCATACATATATATGTCTAACCTACGCTTGAAACAATCAACAATCCCACGCCTATTGTGTTACCCGGAAATTTGTTACATAGATCAGCAACAACCCTAATCCCCAGCCACACCTGCAAGCACCTCTCCTCCAACACTCCCCCCCCCCCAGCAAACACCTGAAGTAACCACAACACTAACAACGACATTACGTTGTTACGCCGTAAAAATAACGTTTTGATTACATTGTGTATTTGCTGGGAATTCTCCCCTATCCGCCCCCAGGTGTTTTTGTATTATTTTTCTTACCACAGACGTGGCCACACATTTACAGTGCTAACTAGCATATATAAATTTTCTTCTATCGTCCATGGACAGGGTTAGGAAACTGTTAAACACATAGTTCAGTGATTAATTGAACAATCAACCACAGAAGGTGATTGTAGTGCTTTTAAAATGCTAATCTAACCTATATACATAAATACACAGATTTACGTCTGTCCTACATAAACATTGTTCGAGGTGTCTTTATATAGTGTCATTAATGTGCGTTTACAAAGGTGAAATGCAATTCTGACCACATTACACATATCCTGTATACACAGGTGTCGATTTCACTTTGCCTCAGATTTACAAGATCTTGTTGAAGTTCTCGGTGTACTGCTGCTCTCAGATTTGCTCATTGACAATCCAAGGTTACACTCAATGGCTCCTTTAAAGGCAGATTCTTTGGCTAACTCCATCTATCATCATACTATCATGCAAGAGGAGCCACACATCTATGGTTCATCCAATAAAATCAGCAGACTTCTAGATGTTACTACTGCTCGCCTTAGACTCGGTTACAAGTATCTCTGGGAATTCTCATTATCTGCCGATGTAAACCTGACCAAATGTAAACTGTGTCAACAAAATTATTCGCACACCCTCCATCACTATGTGATGGAGTGCGAAAAGATACGTGAATTTAGAGACAATTCTATAACCAATGTTCCAGCGATGTGTCAATATTTCATTCAAAATGATCTGACTCCGCTCCAATATAGAGGCATCAAGAAATATGGACCAATAGGCTTTCTACAATTACTTCCATTCAATACCCATTGTTTCGTGTTCTGTCTTGTGTTTGAATTTAATACCCATTCAATACCCATTGTTTCGTGTTCTGTCTTGTGTTGTAATTTAATACCCATTGAATACCCATTGTTGAAAGTTCGTTTTTCACCTCATCCACCTCACCCAAATGTAGATATAAACCTCGAAGATGTGTAAGCTCTATTCAGTTTCAGTTGTGTGTTTGTAAACTAAAGTCTTTGAAAATGTAATAAGTTTTACGAAACGCGCTCAAGTGTCGCGTCAGACTAGAAATAAAAATGAATTTTGGAGAATTGATCTTTGAATTACCATCAACAGTGAAAAGAAACATAAGAAAGATAGAGAAAATTCGTGTTAGAATTATTAATCTTACTTTTTCGGTCATATTTAATAATATATGTCTACAGGAAAGACTGCTACCAAAATATACTAATATATATATATATATATATATATATATATATATATATATATATATATATATATATATATATATATATATATATATATACATTTATGTCTCTCCTACTTTGACAGGGTAAGAGAGCAGCTACGTAAAGGAGGCAAGACTGCCTCACCTGCCGAGGAGAGACCACAACGCCTCGCTCACGGTGGTGGAATCAGGAGGGGAGTTGTTACACTGACCCCTATATCCCTCCCTCAGGGTGTAGGGCAGGGCCGGGCACGACCCGTAGAACACCTCCTCCTCGGCCTCCTCCCGCGGCCGGATCTCCGTCAGCCTGTAATCCTGCACCCCCTGCTCCAGCCGCGACGTGTAGGTCAGGTGCACCACCTGTCACAAAGTGGAGGCAGTGGAAGGCAATAGTTTTTGCTGCGGTGGCTGTTTGTATACTCTTAGCAACACTCATAAGCTAACAGGAACACTCATAAGCTAACAGGAACACTCATAAGCTAACAGGAACACTCATAAGCTAGCAGAAACTCATAAGCTAACAGGAACACTCATAAGCTAGCAGGAACACTCATAAGCTAACAGGAAGACTCATAAGCGAACAAGAACACTCATAAGCTAACAGGAACACTCATAAGCTAACAGGAACACTCATAAGCTAACAGGAACACTCATAAGCTAACAGGAACACTCATAAGCTAACAAGAACACTCATAAGCTAACAGGAACACTAATACGCTAACAGGAACACTCATAAGCTAACAAGAACAATCATAAGCTAACAAGAATAATCATAAGCTAACAAGAACACTCATAAGCTAACAGGAACACTCATAAGCTAACAGGAACACTCATAAGCTAACAGGAACACTCATAAGCTAACAGGAACACTCATAAGCTAACAGGAACACTCATAAGCTAACAGGAACACTCATAAGCTAACAGGAACACTCATAAGCTAACAGAAACACTCATAAGCTAACAGGAACACTCATAAGCAACCAGGAACACTCATAAGCCAACAGGAACACTCATGAGCTAACAGAAACACTCATGAGCTAGAAGAAACACTCATAAGCTAACAGAAACACTCATAAGCTAACAAGAACACTCATGAGCTAGCAGAAACACTCATAAGCTAGCAGAAACACTCATAAGCTAACAGAAACACTCATAAGCTAGCAGGAACACTCATAAACTAACAGAAACACTCATAAGCTAACAAACACTCATAAGCTTATAGGAACACTCATAAGCAACAGGAACACTCATAAGCTAACAGAAACACTCATAAGCTAGCAGAAACACTCATAAGCTAACAGGAACACTCATAAGCTAACAGGAACACTCATAAGCTAACAGGAACACTCATAAGCTAGCAGGAACACTCATAAGTTAGTAGGAACACTCATAAGCTAACAGGAAAATTCATAAGCTAACAGGAACGCTCATAAGCAAACAGGAACACTCATAAGCTAACAATAACACTCATAAGCTAGCAGGAACACATAAGCTAACAGGAACACTCATAAGCTAACAGGAACACTCATAAGCTAACAGGAACACTCATAAGCTAACAGGAACACTCATAAGCTAACAGGAACACTCATAAGCTAGCAGGAACACTCATAAGTTAGCAGGAACACTCATAAGCTAACAGGAACACTCATAAGCTAGCAGGAACACTCATAAGCTAACAGGAACACTCATAAGCTAGCAGGAACACTCATAAGCTAACAGGAAAGCTCATAAGCTAACAGGAAAGCTCATAAGCTAACAGGAACGCTCATAAGCTAACAGGAACACTCATAAGCTAACAGGAACACTCATAAGCTAGCAGGAACACTCATAAGCTAACAGGAACACTCATAATCTAGCAGGAACACTCATAAGCTAACAGGAACACTCATAAGCTAACAGGAACACTCATAAGCTAACAGGAACACTCATAAGCTAACAGGAACACTCATAAGCTAACAGGAACACTCATAAGCTAACAGGAACACTCATAAGCTAACAGGAACACTCATAAGCTAACAAGAACAATCATAAGCTAACAAGAACACTCATAAGCTAACAAGAACACTCATAAGCTAACAAGAACACTCATAAGCTAACAGGAACACTCATAAGCTAACAGGAACACTAAAATCCTCTCACTTAAAACTAAATCAAGTAGCCTCGCTGAGATACCAATCCTATTATATAAAAAAATTCACGTTTTTTGTCCCCGGAAATATCATTGTTCTCTGCAAAAAATCACTTGAACTCCGAGCCTCTTCTGATGTTCTCCTAGAGCAGGGGTCTCCAAACTATGGCCCGCGGGCCACAACCGGCCCGCCACATAATTTCATCCGGCCCTCCAAACAAATCCCTGTGTGGTGGCCTTGAAAAAATAATTATCGTACGAATGGCATCGCAGAATTATTCAAAGCTGGGGCTGCTGACTGGTGGCGCTCAACCTGAGTCAGTTTTCCTCTCTCTCGATAGTGTGACGCACAGATACTAATACTGGTAGGTATGTGTTGTGCATTACAACCAATCAGTTGTGTATAACTGTATATTGTGGGGATGGAGGGCGAGTGGGGCTTCGCTGCTTCCATTTCAGGGAGCACAAACACTGTACAATATTCTTTTCTCTGTACTTTGACAATGCCTTTATCTTAGTTATACAAAATAGCAATAATACTATTGTAGCCAAAAATATTGCATGTTTAAAATAGTTAAAATGGTAACCATTAAGTTTATCAACGAAAGCTGTTGCCATAATATTTACCACTTTATAATAATATGCTATGCTTTTTAACACCACATACAAGCTGTTTTTTTCCTGTAGAATTTATTTCATTTATTTTACCCTTATGTTTTCAGATATGGAAAAGATAAAGAAAAGAAAAGTGGACAGTGAGTGCCGTCGGTTCAATGACGAATGGAAGATATGTTTTAATTTTTCCATGTTTATACTTTAATATTTGAGGAAATTAAATTACTGGCACTGATTTGTTTTTTGTTTTTTTTTTTCATTTTTTATTCCTCCGGCCCGCATAAATATGGGAAATATATAATGTGGCCCTTACATTGAAAAGTTTGGAGACCCCAGTCCTAGAGTGATCCCAGTCCACAAAAGTGGTGATCTCACTAAAATTTCCTGCCCGAAACGCTCTGCGTAATAGTGGCTTTAGGTGGGAGGGGTGTGATTATTAGGGGTTGTGAATAGTGGGTGGGGAGGGGTGTGATTATTATGTCTTGGTGATGGAGAGGTGTTGGGGAGGGTGTTGGTGGTAGAGAGGTGTTGGGGAGGGAGTCTTGGTGGTGGAGAGGTGTTGGGGAGGGTGTGTTGGTGGTAGAGAGGTGTTGGGGAGGGTGTGTTGGTGGTGGAGGGGTGTTGGGGAGGGTGTGTTGGTGGTGGAGAGGTGTTGGGGAGGGTGTGTTGGTGGTAGAGAGGTGTTGGGGAGGGTGTGTTGGTGGTGGAGGGGTGTTGGCGAGGGTGTGTTGGTGGTAGAGAGGTGTTTGGGAGGGTGGGAGGTGTTGTGTGTTGGTGGTATGTACTAGCTCTATCTATAAATCTATCAATTTTTGTATCACCTCTTGTATGTATGTACTTTACCTGAATAAACATTTGAATTTGAATTTTGAAAATCAACGATATTAGGCCAATATCAATTCTGCCCGCCTTGTTCAAAATATTCGAAAAACTAATGTGTAAACAGCTTAATTAACTCCTACTTAGCTAAACATAATCTACTTAGTTCTTGCCTATAAGGCTTCAGACGCCAAAAAGCACCAGCGACACTAATGAATAAGCTTGACTTAATGCATGAAGCTCTTGACGAAAATAAGAATCACTGAAACACTTTTTTAGTATTAATGTTTTTAACAAGTGGAGTAGGTTAGACGTAGAAGTCGTTGAAGCGAATTCGATTCAAAGTTTTAACTGTAAATATGATAAAGCGTGAGAAATAAGTCATTGCATTAATCTCAGAACGCTCGGAAGGCGGGGCTAGGAGCCTGCCTACCTGGATCCTGCAAGCACATCTAGATGAGTACACACAAGCATATACACACGCATATACATATGCATACGCACACCCACCTAGCACCCTCACCCTGTGTGAAGAACTGCTATTTAATGAACATTGATGAGAGAGCCTCATTTGAATTTCAAATGACAAAAATAATTATCTGCACGTTAAATAAAGTACCATCCACTTCACACTGCCCTCCCTCCTCCCTGGCGTGAAGAGACGGGTAACTAACCTGATGCGCCCGGCGACATATTTCTTGAATATGGCCAGCGGCCTCCCTGGCCTTCACGAGGGCCGCCTTCATCGCCTTGTCCCGCAAGCACGTAACTGTCACCTGCAGGACCTGCGGCAGGTGGACGGGTGGAGAGATAAAGAGCTGCATGGGTGAATAGATAAGCCGGTGGGCTCTTAGACTCTTACGACGAATAGATTGGCTGATGTGCAGACAAACAGATGGGCAAGAACATCTATGCTGGAGGTCTTAATGCAAATGATAACTAGAATATGTGCATCAGATTTAAATAAAATATTTGGCATGTAAGAGATTAATGACTACGGAAAAACTACAAATATATATATATGGGTAGAAGGAAGACCCTTGTGGCAAACACACACCCGGTACATTGCTTGCCTACGCCACCCTCTAGCCGCGGCCGACGCTCCCTCCAAGTGGTTTCCAATCCAATTACTAGCCAGATAAAATGGTGTTTAACTTCAATGAGCAAGTGACGCGCATATCCTACACGCTACACGTGTCCACTGATATATGACACCTAATGTGGACGAATCTTATTACTATATGACTGGCGCAGCTGCAAGGGGTGTTGGGGAGGGTGTTTTTTTATTATTATTTTAATAAATAATTTTTTATTATTATTTTATTATATATTTATTATTATTATTATTATTATTATTATTATTATTATTATTATTATTATTTTCTACCACAGACGTGGCCACACATTTACAATGCTAACCAGAATATATACATTTTCGTCTGTCCTCCATGGACAGGGTGAGAGATTTGTCAAACATACAGTTCAGAGATTTATTGAACAACCACAGAAGGTGATCGTAGTGCTCTTAAAATGTTAGGCTCAGCTACATACGTAAATAGGTGTGTTTGTGGTGGTGTTGGGAGTAGTAGGGTTGGCGCCACACAGACGAATTTTTTTTTCTGGGAGAAAAATCCCCTGTGCGCCCCCAGGGTTTCAGGTAAATTTAGAATATCCCCTGTGCGCCCCAAGGGTTTCAGGTAAATTTAGAAATTCGTGTTTGTGAGCCAGGGTTTTTCAGGCGAATTTGGGCAGTCACAGATTTTAGAAGTATGGATTTCTTATGAGAAAAATAATTTCCGAGACTTAGAAATTTGTTAAAGCCTTATGGGAGAAATTCAAATAACGTGTGTAGCACTTTAGGGCTTCCAGGAGAACTCTACGGACATATTTTACATGTTTTCAACTTACAAAATCGTCTATGTAAGCCTTAGTTATTCATATAAATTTAGAAAGTTATCTGTATAAGTCATTGTTTTCAAGTCTCGTACATCACACCCCCCTCCCTCCCTCCCCCCCTTACCTCGCAATCTGTCGCGTCACCTTTATTTAATTTGCGCCCAGCAAGCCAGCCAGTCAGCTCTTAATCTTATCTTATCTTATCCGTAATATCTGGACCGTCCCTCCTCTCTCTCTCTCTCTCCCTCCTCTCTCTCTCTCCTCTTCATATTATTCCCTCTTCCTATTTTCTGACATACTAATATTTTATTCCTTTTTCATTAACCAGTCAGTTTTATACAAATCAACCGAAGCATCTCAATGTAACCTTTAATACTGAAAACTGCCTCAGAGACTATCTAAGCTGGCCCCAGCTACCTGCCCCAGGCTATCTGCCCGAGGCCATCATCACCTGATTACCTGCCCCAGACATCTACCAGTCATTGTCGGCGTTCGCCACCGTAATAATTTATATATATATATACATTAAGCGTTAATAAAACTTATTTATTTATTTATTTATAATTTATTTAGTCATCTAATTCATAGTTTACACAATTTATAATAAACAATTCATTTAGCCCGAAGTTCTAAGAAGCTCGCTCCTCAATCCGCTTGTATAATATCCGTCCTATTCACTCTTCATCTCTGTAAATAAAGAATAACAGTTTCAGATAGCGTTTACACATGTACAATATTTATCGGACACATAAAACCTCGAAACAAATGTACTCACCATTTTCCGTTAGATAATGTGTTATAGCCTCATTCAGCCAGTCGTCTCCAAGCACATTTTCCAACAAATATCGCTCTTATCATAACACAGCGTTTCATAGCAGCTCGGCATATTTTTAAATAAAGCATAAGATAGCCTCATTACGTTCCTATCATTCTGCATATATTCTCCATAAGTAAAACTAGTTTCAAATAGCTTTATTGCAGTTTTTAGATCCTTGTTTGAAAGATGGTAACAGAAAAACATCGCATATAGCCCGCATACGTAAGTATTTAAACTCTGAAGTCGCTCTGTAAACGTGTATACATCACAGTCTTTATAATAATTTAAAAACTCCGAAATGTATGGCGAATACACATTTATTCCATATGAATCGAGTATAACTATTTTCCGTTTAGATTTATATACAGCAATCCAGTGACCCATTACTTCCTTAGAGTCTCTTCCTAAGGTATTTATTATAAACATAATCGGTCTGTCCCGTATTTGCTTCATTATTCTATATATATCCGTCGCTAAATAGCATCCAATATATTTAGCTTTACTACCTTTCATATCGTTCAATGCCGTATTAATTTGTTTGCAGTTCATGCTCTTGTATCACACACAACTCGCCTATCTGAATAAATTCTCAATACTCCCGTTGTAATTCCGAATAAAATAATAACTTTATTCGATTTCGCTGGAACAGCAAATTCTAATGTAATTCTCAGGTTTCCCGAAGCCTCTATAGGAAGGGTATCTCTCAATTCCTCAGGCGTTAGTCTAAATGCCAGTAATGTTCTTCCTTTTATAAATGAATTATATGTCAAGGTATTGCAAGCATTAAAGCCTACTGTATTTTGAGTCTCGTAGTATAGTTTCGAACATTTATTCGGGAACTTGCAAGTTATATTAAATAAGTTTGTCCCATCACGTGTAATATATACATTAGATAAATCGCAGTGATCGAAATAAAGTGGATTAAGTGTATACGCTCCTGATATTGCTTCCATATCCATCATCATAATAAATAATTTATCTGGGATAATGCTCCCCCATGGCTGGTCAATACTTAATCTCTGCTGCCCATTACCAAGAATGAACGTCTTGTGGAGTGTCTTATCAAACGTATATGTAACTGGCGTATTTTGTTCAGCCAGAGCTCTATTAATAGCCTCCAATCCAGATGCAAATGGAGTTATCCGATCAATCCACATTCTAGCTAGTTTTATGTTAAACTTATATCCAGATTCAATACTGTTTATAACCCACGGATCACTGTTAAGTTCTAATCTCAAACGAATATCAATTCCATCCAAAAGATATTCGCTCAAAGTTGTAATGTCCAATAGCAGTTTAAAGCAACAATTTACTCCCTCAGTTTTTAACTTTACAAATCTAGATTTAAGGTCTTCGGATGCATTCTTAAAATAATCTACATCATATTTTTCAGGGAAAACATCATTATAGAAATACGTCAGTTCTTTAAATCTTTCAGCTTTACATTCAGAAAGCGTCGTCATTAGCTTTACATATGATAAATATGAAAATAGTGAATTAGTTTCCACCACTTGCTCATTTAAATAAACAGTTACAGCTTTAAACATTGTCTGGGACAAGCCATTAACTATTGATGCATTTTTAATATCCGCTAAAGCCGTAATTCCGTCAGGCCCCGTTAATTCAACCATCAGTTCTAGCGTCAAGCTCGAAAGATCAATAAATTGACCCTTAACTCCAGGGATACGAAATTCAATATATGAATCTTTAAATTTATTGTTAATACTTGAATTCACAGGTAAAATATCCTGTGTCTGTCTTGAAAATATCGTACTTTCAACCATTCTATGGGGACTAACTTTAGGAAAGCCATCGCTTATAGCAGCTGTATAATTTTCTAAAGGAACTTGCAATGCTGCACTAGGAGCATTTACACTCATCATGTCTGCGTCTAGCATACAACTAGTACTGTTTTTATGAAAACACGTCTTTATATCTATCCATTTTCTTTATATAGGCAGGTCTTTTCGTTTTTCTTTTCGTTATTCGGCCACCTGCTAACAATTTAGGACCTATACTTTTCAATGTTTCCATACCTCGTTTTCTAATTGAATCTTTCAAAGTACCTTGACCGGCATTTATATCCTGCAAAACATTCTGTCCCATTGTCAATGCTGCTGGCATGATAGTTTTTAATAGGAAAGGAGTTGCTCTACGAGCTAGACCAGTTAAGAAACTTAATATTCCACCTCCTCTTAAATGTCTTCTATCAAAAACAGTAATATCGCCCAGTGCTCCACCTCTCTTCCCTCGAGGAGCGATAAATCGCTCTACCTCGTCAACAGACAGCGGTACAAACCCGACCCTCATGTTTAAACAGGTCAAGAGAGAATGATAAACTCCCTCTACTCATGTCATTATATATCAACGGGTCTAATATGTAATACTGCAATCGTACATCCATCCTTTTCAAAATATACAGGCTCCCCATCTTGATCTGTTAATCTAATACTGATGCCATCAATATTAGTCGTATTTAAAGGTTTATATAATTTCCTGTGTGTTACATTACTTTGAAACGAAACAACATCCAAGATATTTACAATCTGATTACCAAACATGGTGGGCTGCACCTTATCACAATATACACACAAGAAATCTATACGGCCTCCTGGCCTAGGATGATAATAGCAAGTATCTTGTACAAATAACCTGTTATTAGGTGGCTTATTCATAATAAAAATATCATAGGCTTTACCTACTTCAGCTCCAATAACTTTACATATATTTCGACCGAAAGATAAAGAAATTCGAACAACTAATTTTCCATCCTTTGTAATAAATAATTTTAACAACTTCTCACTAAATGCTGCATTAAACTTAATTCGATTAATACTCGAATCATATTTCATATAAACGTCCCCGTGATCTGGGAAATTATAATTAAGTACGGGTCCTATAAAACTCAGTGAACCTTTTGAAAATATAGTAGAAATTTCTCTATTTAAAATAGTCGTTAGCTCTATGCAATTATCACTGGCTAAAATATCCGACTTTAAAGTGAAAGATGTATTCACCGTACTCAAATCAGATAAACTTTTATTAGACACTAGAAGTTGAACTGAAATAAAA